AGCGTATCCCGTCGGGTATGCACGGCTTCCATCGGTCACCGATAACGACCGAATGCCAGATTGGTCCGCTTCGAGTTCACAGGATCGTCTCGTTGGACACACGCTTCGACTCGCGACGCCAGATGATCTGGCGGCGGCACGAAGCGTGACGTAACAACCGTAGAAAGTTACGATTATTGTGGAATTCAAAGATTTCTTAGAAGTTTGACAGTGACCGCGACGATCCTCGTCGATTTTAATCCTTTTCGTGTTCCTCTACGAGTTTTTCACCGAGGGCACTGAGATTTGAGGTTATCTCACTCGATCGAGAAGATGAAAGATTGTTGGCGAAGGGTAAATTGAAATTTTTGCGATCGCCAGTAAACCGCCAACTGCAATATGTGGTGACGTTTTACAATTAGATCGAATCGAGTATCACGATCAATGGTCATCGGTGCGAGACGAGTTGAGACAGCCGGATTCGTGCTCCGTTCGATCGACGATTAAAATCGATATACTACCCTCGTCTACCGCAAGAGCGAACGGTTGTGCGTAGAAACAAGTCGTAGTTTGTGCGCCCGACACGCGCGCCATGAGTTCCGTCGATCACCGATAAGGACTCCGGAGGCGACTGTCCGATAACCCGTTTCAGCGGAGATTGTGCGATCACCGAACCACTCGACAACCCGTTTCGGCGTTTCCAACCACGAGATACGGTGATAGTGAACTCGGTGACGTAATTAGTGGAGAAAAGGTTTATCATTAAGTTATGCGCAGGTGGATATCGATAGAACTTCGTCGATCTAGCTACTAGTTACACGCGTCCTTGCCCCTTCTCTTTCCTATGGTAACGGCGATATATAACAATATATTTAATAGATGGCGATAATGTAACGTCGAGAAAATGTTAATTAAGCATAGTTAAACTGTGACGTGTCATCGTTTATTTGAGTATATCTTGGCGTATTTGTATCACCGTGTTGCATATTTCAATTTACCAAAATTAACGATAATTCATTGATTAATAAGCAAAGTAATTAAACTGGTTCGCACAAACCACTCGAAAACCGTATACAAGTTTCGCTCGTTCCCGCGTGAAAAAGGGCGGCGTGCAGTGTCAATGTACGACTACACGTGCCACCAACCGTAATGTGGCGCGAACTTCTACGACGCAGAAATACACACTAGCTCTCTTTTTGCTTGATTCGTGTTCATCTCGGCTAAGAATACGTATTTAGTCCTTTCGACGATGGTAAGACCTCTCCTGCAACTGCTTTTACACAAATGCAAACGCGACTTTAATTACCGTAGAGCCAAACAGCCCGCGAGGTAAGTTTCTTTTACAGGAATCTATTTACTCTCCGAGACATTTCTTTTTACCGATGATTGGTTATTTTACGATTGACCACGATTCATCGTTCCTCCACGATATCTTCATCACCGAGATAAACTTCACAGAAACAACGATAATCCACATGTATCGAGCTCCATGAATCCCAGGTAATATCGAGCCTATACCGAAATGCACTCACGTATGCGTCATGATCGTCGCCAACGAAGCACGAACTTCGATATCACACTCGCGCGGTTAGCAGCCTGATGTCATCTGTTTCGCTTGAAGTAGAAACCGAGGGGGCGAGTGCCATAAAAATCGACAACAGCGTTGAAGTTCGAGGATCGAGTGCAGAAAAAATAGAAGAGAAGAGCAGAACAGAAAGAAAAAGAAAGACGGGGGAAGAGGTGAAAGGCACGCGGTGAACTGCTGGAAAAAGCACGGGGAGATCGCGGTAAACGACGATTCTTAACACTTGCAATTCTCGCGCGACAGAATGGAGGAGACGTTTCGCCAAACCTCCGCTCGGTTTCTTGCGCGTTTTGCCCCTCCTGTTGCACGGTGGCGCTTAAACGAAAGTGTAAGTTTACTTAAGGTAGGTCGCGCCAAGAATACACGCCTATCGCGCTACAAACTCTTGTTCCGTTCGTTTGAAACAGAGGGAGGTGGAAAACGTGACGAGATCAACCCGCAGAGACGACGTTGAGTGGTTCACGAAAGCTTGTGTGCGCCTATTCTATCGTATAGGAAAGCATAAAAGTACATTAACTAGATGGGAAACGTTTTTAGTTTCATGCTTGCGACACACAAGCCTTCGAATTTTTCGGCACGCTTGGCCTTTCACTCCACCATGATATTATCCTTGATACTAAAAACGTGTCGCCATTAGAAAAATTATGGTATATACATTAAATAAGAACTACAGGTGTACGCTTATTTAATGTTTACGATGTAGGCATGTTTATTGCTATTTTTTTTTTTTTTTTCATATAGACGATAATTGCATTCAAGGTTCCAATGGCAACATTTTGTCGTAAATACGTCATTAGAACTTTCACGATAAAAATATAGGTTAAACGTGTAGAATATATATTACAGTATAAAGTACATTTATGGTACGTAGTAGATCGGGAAAAAATTCAGTTATTAAGGTTCGATACCGACAAACCATCGTTGAAATCGCTGGCAATTAGCCGATATGGCAATAATGCAAACTTGTCGACGTATTACAATGTTTTATTGCTAATAATTTACTGCGTACTCGTGATTTACATGCGGCAAGGAAAATAATGTGAAAACGCATGGAGAATATTTTGAGAACCAAAACGACATACGATTTAAAAAAAGCGAGAGGGCGCGTACGGACACTCGTTTGAACATGAGTATCGCTGTGGGAAATATGGGGAGATACGTATTTTTAATAAATAAACAAGTCAACGCAATATTTCAGTAATAAAAATTCATAATTCCTCTTCAATTTCAATAAACGTCACCTAATACATTTGTCCTTCTTTGTACCATAGCATATATACTTCGCTTTTTTCTTTTATTGTTTTCCTTTTACCATATGCACAGGATTAAGACGTGCGCATGTGTGTCGAAACGGTCGTGTGTGTGTGTGTGCGTGTGCGTATATATGCATTATATAAACACTCGCACACATATATATGTGTATACACATATATATACTTCTATTATGACACGCGACACAACACATGCTTTGTATATCTCTACTAGAATCCCGCCTGTTCCTCCTACATACATACATACGAACATGCGCATGCGAAATAGCACATGAACACGCGCGTCGATAATATATACTCTATATGTATGTAGTAAGTGTTACTGCAGAACATTTGCTGCAACGACGCGCGTGCACACGTGCACACTTCAGACTGAGTAACATGTATACATTATATTCCAATTCAAACCACAAAAACACGATCTCCTGCACGACAATCATGAGAATAAAAATAAGTGTCGTAATAGTTGTACTAATTAATATAGTGTAGTAGTAATAGTAATGGTAATAGTGATAGCAGTAGCAGTGATGATAGTAGCACTGTTGGTACACTTTTCTATCGATAGCAACGATTCCTTCCTCCTATCTCTTTTTACCTTTCGAGCTTTACGTGTACGTATCGGTAATTAATCACCGTAGCCATTTTACCAATAATCGTCGTATATACAATGTACGTACAAGTATAACATTTGTTGTATGCCGTTTAACAAGATTTACAATTATCTTTTTTCCGTTCATTATGTATATATAAATATATAAATGTATATAACGGTACATAGATTTATATATTTATATGGATAATAGGCATGTATGTATTTGTAAATAAAAAGTACTGTATATATAATTGAATAACGTTTTCTCTACTCGCGATAATTAATATTTAATTAGTTACTTACACGGTGTAAGTGACACGATAAACTATATCCGCCAGGACTCGCGTTGAACAACACGTGTATTAGTCGAGAATTAGTTTGTGTTAATTAATATGCTTTGATCATTTCACATTTCTTCCCGACAGTCAATTCTGTTAACTAAAGGATTAATTTACACAAACTAGATGTATCAGACGAGATGTTTCTTTTACACATTCAGTGAAATAAACATTCTAGCTGAATCATTAATATATTAATTAATCTCTACCTAACAGCGTGTTAATTGTTCATATTATCAATATATTAATTCAAGGACTTTATGTTAACGAAGTCCCGAAACAGAAATCATTTTCTATTTGCCTAGTTTCGAAATTCGTTATACACTATTTTACAATTGCCTATATAATTATTTACAATTCTTTCCGCAATAGCGAATCTATCTGTATGTCGTCTAATCCACATTCTTTCGTCTATAATATGTATATACATTTGTCGTGTATGCAAGAAAAATATCTCTCTGAATGTAATTTAATTGGAATTATATCTTTGGATTGCGACCAAAAATAGATTTAAGTAACAAGTTGTAGGTGGGGTATTCTCGATTAAGGATGGTCAATCATTGCGTGGATTATCCATGTATGCAACTTCAAATGTCAAATGCAATACACACTAACATAAATAATATGAAAAATTCTAGTATAGCAAACGCCTTTTTCGTTGTTTCTGACACGTAAGTCGTAGTTCAAAAAATATAATGCGAATAAGTACTCATAAAAAGTACCATAATGGCAATAAATGAGTGTAAAGAAGAGAGCCAGTTGCAAAAAATTAAGACTGACCATCCTTATTCTAAATCATAATATTTATCACTTACGATAAAGATTAATATTCTTTCAAGATTACTCGATATGCAAGTGCAAAAGCATTTTTTTCACTTTTTCGATATTTTTTATACTGATCATTCTATACTGATTAAGTTAATAAATTCTTCTATCTATCATCTACTATTGACATAGGCAAATGAATTTCTCTACCTGATGGCATTTTTTATATTGTTATGTGTGTGTATGTATATATTTATATTTATATATTAGTTTCATAAAAAAAATTAGATACAATTGCAAAAATTCTAAGTACGTCAAAAATACCATCAGGTCGTACTCATTAATTTGTGCTTTATCGATTAAAATGTATAACGAAGAAGTACCTTTTTCAGACCTTTTCGAAGCAGCAGCCCTATCACAGTGTGGCTCGGAGATGAAGGCTATTTCGCTCTCCTTATGCGGACCAGACTTTATAAAACAGACTCTATTTGCTTAATTTCTTTCTCGGGTAGTTCTTGTGGAGATGGCGCAGTTTCTACAATTTCAGGAATATCTTCTTCATTCTCCTCTTCGATATCTTCATCAATTGGAGTCAATGTATCTAATATCACAGGCTGTGTCTGTAATAGATATTATTCTTTTTCGTTAATTTAAGGTATTCTAAACAATGTTTATATCGTACCATGATGAATTTACCTGCGGCGTTGTGCACCGTTTCATCGCTGGGGCCATGAAACTAGTAACTGTGCTCATAAGGAAGAAAAATCCTGCCATAAAAAATGGGATGCTGTAGCTTTGTGTTGCATCATAAACAGCACCTGCTAAAGGAGAACCAATGATAGCCGCTGCTCCTCTGAATAAGATCAGAAGGCCAAATGCATTGGTTAATTTCTCTAATCCCAAAAGGTCTACCAAAATTATTGACGTCAATGAAATATAACCAGCTGAAATGTTAGAAAACCATACATGTACACATATATATCTCAACAAAATAACCAAATAAAATCTACAGTGAAATTTATCAATTTCAGTACTTACATATAGCTATGCCAAAAAGAATGCTCATAATGATGTAAGCAGGATAAGAATGACAAAATGGAATTGCAGCTACAGCAACTGTCGATATAATTAAGCAGATATTATTCAACAGTAGAGAGTCTACTTGTGGAAAATCAGCGATATATCCACAAGCTACACGACCCAGAGTATTAGTAATACCAATAATAGATACTAAATATGATGCAAGAGTCTTGTCAATATTCTGAAAATGGTAAAAAATGAAAAGCTGACATACAAAATAATTTGTCGTAAAAAGAATATTTTAATCCTTTACTTACATCTAAGACTGCAGCATCCAATAAATATACAAAAGGGACGTATAATCCAGCCATTCCAAATAAGTTACTAATACCAATTAACAAAAATACTGGATTCTTTAGCAAAGATACATCCATCATAGTTGCCAAAGCTTCTTTAAATGAATCAGGTAACACCAAACAAGGACACAGGGGTTCTATAACATTTATTATTTTATTTAACAAAGATTTTTAAATCAATATATTTTTATATTAAAAGAATTACTTACGTTGGGGAGCTTTTTCAATGTCAGTATCCTTAACGTCTCCACGCACAGATTTTGGTAATGAAATAACACTTTGACGGTAATTTGCAAGTGACTTTTGACTTTGATATTCTGGCAAGTTAACAACACTGCCACTGTAAAAAATATCCTTTCTCGATAGGGGTCGAATTATCTGTGGTTTCTCCTTTGGAATACTAGATTTGCTGGTAGTAAAGGTAATACTTTCCCCATCCTGTAAAACGTATTATTTATGTAGTATAATAACATTTTTCAAATAAGTACATGTATAAAAACAAGATAAAACGCGTACATCTACTTCCGCATTATTGTTTCGAGAGCCCATAACACTGCTCGTCGAAAGTCTTAAATGCAAACTCTTTCTAATATCTCCATTAGAATTTAATGTTGTTCTAGAGTTTTTAATCGCACTAAGGCTTGGCTTATATCTTTCACCAGTGCTGGTTTTACGAATTCTATCGAAGAATGGTACAGAGCCATTTTTAGGTAAACCTTGCACATGAGTTGTAAAAGCAGGTTGTGAAGCATTTCTAGGAATTATTGGTTTGAATTCACTGTCAGACTTTTCCGACGTATCTTTGGTTTCATCCATATTTCTTCTGCTCCTTGATTTGGTGGATATAGTCTTTAAGTCCATACTGCCACTATTGCTAGTTGCTCCACTGGAAGAGTGTTCTTGTACCTTCACTTCCGATATAGTGGGGAGAGTTGGCACCGTTGGTACTGGTGTTAAAGGAGTTCCTTTAATATTATAATTAAATAAAGTACATCATAAAACGTCATGCTTAACATTCATATTATTAATTGTAACCCCGATTTTCTTACCAGGCACTAATTGGTCTAAATTGAAACTGGAATGGACACCAGGATCAATATTAATAGGCATTTTCATTCTCTTCTCCATAGATCCATCAGGCAGTTGCACCATGAAGAAAGAACCTCCAATACTCCCACGTTCCATTTGAAACCGTTTTTCCTCTGCCATTCTTTGTAATAATGGTTTAACAGAAGAAGCTTTTGGATATTCTAGTGGCCTCATCATTGCACCAAATACCTATAATTTTCCTGTTGTTATTACCAAATATGCAATATATACTCCACAATATTTCATAAAATTCATAGTTACACTTACAGCACAATTTAAAATAAGGCCGGCAAGGATTAAATTTGCTCCTTTCCAACTGTATGCTTCTAGTAACATGGTTGCAAGAGGTGCAAATGCAAATGTGCCAAATCCTGAACCACATACAGCAATACCTGTAGCTAGAGATCTTTTGGTTTCAAAATAATAACCTACACAAACTACAGCTGGCAAATATATTAGACCAAATCCAATTCCTGAAAAAATGTAATTATTATGATGTATCCAAAGGATATGTAAATAGATTAGATTTTAGTTTAAAATATTATACGCACCCCCCATAACACCGTAAGTCATCATAAGCATATTTACACTGGTTGAAAATGTTGAAAGTACAAATGCTGCTGCACCTAAAAAACTTCCTGCCATACATACTGCTCTACATCCATACTTATTTGTTAAAGCACTGATAACAGGTCCTGAAAAAGTGATTGAAACTTCTTAAACTAAGGTATTATTATAATTTGAAAATGTGATAGCAATAATAAAAGAAATTACCAGCACTGAGGTACATGCCAGATAACAATGAGCCAACCCATGCAGTTTTGCCTTTTCCTTCTCCAAAATAAGTAACAAATTCTCCCAGAAAAACGCCGAATGTATAAGCAATACCATCTACTATCATGTTACACATGAATGATGCAAATACCACCACCCACCCATACCCACCATCAGGTGGAGGTGGTATGTTATGGTATTCACATAGCGATCCACCTTCATCTTCTGGAGATGCTTCATCACTCGCTCCATCAGTGGTAGTTAATCTTGCATGCTCTTCTACAGAATATTCACTTTCCGTCTGTAAAAAAGGTGAGTATTTTTATAAATCCAGACGTTATATGGATACATAAAGAATGATATCATTCTTTGTTCTTCCTTTATATTGTCATGTATAGACAATGATAAAAATTAAATACAAAGTAATTTATCTATATTAGAAAATTGAATGAATATTTTTTTAAGATCTGGTTACATTGTGACAATGATAATTATGTTTGCCTTGAGTAAAGTAGTGGCAGTTCACCTTGAATACTACAAGAAAAAGCTTCCTTTCATGCCAATGCATAAATAGATCTCTTAAGAACTCTTAAAAGTTTCAGGAAATCATGCATATTTAAGTAACATCCTATGCAATCGTTTCTATATGTAACTTAATTTTTCTCAATGAAACCAAAAATTTGATGAAATTATAACGATGAAATGAAATAAACTGACAAGAACGCTATTGCGGAAGATATCTTTTGGAGCGTAACGTGAGAACGAACGGCTGTATCATATTATAAGATGATCTCATAACGCAAACGCAAGCATAGATATTATATGGCTACTATGACTTAACCATTCCCTAAGGCTACGTTTATCCAAGGCAGAATAGCGTTTCCACTGAATCTAATAAAGGTGAAGCGATATTGATCACGCGATAAAGTGACCGTACTTAACGAAAATTTGTCCCGTACTCATCTATAATTTTTAAAAATAATCAGATTTGAAGAATACTAGTAAATAAGAAAAATCATACAGGTATAATTTCATGAGTTCCCCGATTCAACCATTTCTTGCATTTACTTAAAAGGATAGATCCGTAAGGGACTTGTTTTGCAGATATTTCGGAGGAATGAAGGAGTTCCGTACAATGACCTCGAGTGCTAACGTATTAAACGAATTTAAATATAGCGCTAACGCATACAAACGCATGGATAAACTCGATAGTGACTTAGCCGAATGGAAGGTCAGCCCAATCAGCTGATCCACTGTCATTAGAATTGGCAAAGCGTACGCCACCTAACGTCAAGGCGAAGGAAGCTCGTCGAGAGTATTGTTTTCGACCTTGTTTCCGTGGCGGTCGGTGTCACATTCGCAACGAGTGCAAACTGTGCACACAGGCATGCAGTGGTACACGGCTGTGCTGACGATATATACATATGCGTATATGGTGTGTAACCATACTCGTTTCGCGTTCGTCAGAAACTTCTGCGAAAGTGTAAATTACGTTGATTGTCAAGGCTAAGTCACGTGTCGTCCCCGAACCGAACCGAATGAACAAACGAAGCAACTATGACGAGAAACGAAACAAGAGAGTGACTCGAAACTGTAGGCGAATCAAATCACCCAAGAATGAAGGCAAGAGGCGCGTAAACGCACGTATTTTACCAAATAAAGACGTGTCTTCGAAACGTACCGTGCTGATCTTCCGCACGCGACGCGAGCCGTATTGGCTGTACTGCGACTTGTTGAGCGACACGCGCGACATTCTACGATCGCCTTAATGTCACACTCCGCTCGTTTCGCCGTTGGCCTCCACACACTGTGCAGAGTTCTATTTTCGTAGAAGTGCGCGCAGCTGCGCGCGCTGTATGTTCTTTCTTTCCGTGACTTTATCCCGCAAGGTTTGCCACGCTACGCCACTTCCGCGCGATTTAACACTCCCCCTGTTAGCGAATAACAGGAGTAGTAGTATCACTCGTCAAAATCCGCTGCCATGTCTTTCACACTCGTGCGTTTCGTGTCAACTTCTATCGTATTGTCATCGCACACCCACCGCCTTACACGAATTGAAGGATCAACAGTTAGCAAATGCAGTGAACAACGACCCCACCGCGAAAATGCACCTTTGTGAAGAAATTGAGAGTAAACGCTATCTTGTCTCTCGTTGCAACACACGTCTACGATTCACGTACGCGCAAAGTGACGCGTTTTAGCAAGCTCAGGTCATCGACGAGGTCCAGGCACGAGACATCGGATGTACGCGAACGAAGCGACACTGTACACTTCGTAAAATGATACAACACGCGCAAATTGTCATGACAACTTTGCCGGTAGGAACGAGTGACTGCTGGCGGACGTATAACTGCTGCGTATCACTACGCGCCACGCAAATTCTATTTATATACAAACACCGTAGTATAGCCTCCTTCCTCGAATTTTCACGAACAAAGTAACTTTGTTTTTTACGTGTATGACGTTCTTTCTTCTGTCATCGTGTCTAAATGATCTTTGTGCAGTGCGAAGATAATGCTCGATGAACGAAACATGCAACGATGTGTTAATAATACGATCACTGCATTTTGGCGATTGCGAACGTGTGTGCAAATGCACTGTGTTTACCACGTTCTGTTCTAGGTGAATCCGAGGTGTACGAACAATTAAACTGCACAAGCCCTCGTTGAGAATTTAAGTATCTGCCGGACAAAAGAATTGCTTACAACAACGAGAGAGTACGGAGCTCTCGTTGAAGCGGCACTGATCGCTTGTGCGCGAAAAGTTAACCTATAAATGCGAGACGTCTCACACGCGTCCCCACCCTGTCACAATTACGTGGCGCGACAACCAGACGATACGCGAATTTGCATCGACCATGATTCTAAAAGACGCCTTGACTTGTTTCATAAATGTAGTCTTCTGTTTTTAAATTTAATTCAGTTAAATTAAGGTAATAACGACATATTTATGTTATGAACAGAAAAAAAAGAGACAAAAAATAATGAAAACAAAGGAATCGATTTAAAATTTTCAACGGTCGTTTCTATACATGTATATTTAACATACTCAGGGGTTTTCGTACTGAATTATTTGCTTAAAATGATTTGTGACCTTACGAAAGTGTTACATAAACGAAAGCTATAAAGTATTAAGAAGCTTGAATCATGATGTAAACAGTTTGAATCTTTTATCTTTTTTCACACTTTTAACTTTTTTTTTTTCTTTTCGTATAAATATCGCAAAAAAAGATATTAAAAATTTAGAAAAGTGTAAAAAATAAAAAATTTTAATTAAAAATTATTACAGATTAAACATATTTTTGAATTCGCTTATCTAAAATAAATGTTCAACAAACTCAAGTGTTAAATTTTGTTTTCAATAAAAAGATTACTTTACCTATACACCTACATATTAAACGACAATGTATAAAACCGAAAACAAAGTCAAAAATTAAAGGATGTGACTGAAAGAAGCCCGGCCAATGTTGCACAAAATTTGAAAAGTCGAGGCATAGTGGACAAAGGAGCACGAAAATAAGCAGCTCCGTGACATTGTGCTCCACGCAAGGCCAAAAATCTATTCGTTGTTTGTAGCCATCCAACGAATGGTTGTATCAAGGGTTACTTTATGCATTACGGGAGGTATTGCACTGATTGACCAACACGTTGTAACTCAATGTCACTCGGCTCTACTTAGCGTAGATGATTCACATTGACTGGCATAATAATGCAGAGATCGACAAGTTATTTACTTTAACGTGCAACTATAGCAGCAGCTTCAACTTACGTTTAATGTTTCGATATATCGTTCCGCGTTAGCCATTAGTCCGATGTACGCGCGCTGCAGTAGTTTTTTTTTTTTTAATGTCACGGGGTAGAGACGAGCCCACCTCGACATCCGAGGTTTATGCAATTTTTAGAATTAGCCGTTTCGAAACGTTACCTCACTAAGCAAATATTTGTTGGCAACGCTCTCGTACTTCAGGAAGAAAGTGACAGTTCCCGGTGGTGTGTTGCTATCAGGTGGTTTCGAGAAATCATATTCATAGTAGACTGGCCGGATAGTCGTACGGAAAACATTGTGTGTCGCAAAGTGACCATCATATCGTAGCGTGACGTGCGCACTAATAATTTAAGTCGATGCTTACACTGCTATGAAATTAATCTTGCACGCGAACGGAGGTTACCGAAATATATCGTATTATCGAAATTACCGACTATACATGGAATCGCGGTTAATCGATTGCCATCTAATGATGGCCGTTTTAACGAAAATCACCAAACGATCGAATTACAGCGACACGGACGAGAGCTGGCGAAAGGGGGCGGGGCGATGAGGCAGGAGGGCACTAAGTAAACATTCTGAAGATGATCTCGAGTCGATGTGTAACAGTGGTGGAAACACTCGAAGAATCAGCACCGATAAAAGGGATAGGTAGACGGGAGGAGAATGGTACCACTGGTATGTAACGTCGATCACGCGAGAGTTACTGCTGCAACATGCTGCATTCCACTGGTGCTCTGCTCGTCTCTGCCCAAGCACGTTTATGAATTAATTAGATAATAACCAGCGACAATTAGTGCTGAAGGCACGACACATGAAAACACCATCTGCTTCTGATCTCCGCGGAAAAATTAGCAAACAGAAGTTACAGGATGATACTGCTGTACGAAGAAAAATTCGTGATAACCGATAAGACACGAGTAATTTCTTTGCTTGATTTGGAACTCGATTACTGAATTTGAAATAACTATCTACTAAATAATTTGAACAACAAATATCATGCCAAACCGTGTGTTTTCTTTCCTATCTATTCCCGATTGTAACATTTTCGACAAAAGCGATACAGAACATGCAAAAGCTTAAACAAAATCAATAATTTGCAATAATCGCAAGACCATCTGTTTCTTGTCTTCTTGGAAACGTCAGCGGTAGTAGTGCCTTGGAATGACTTAGGAACCATAAACGAGAGCTACATCGTGATGTTTTCTTGATTTGCAACAGGCCTTTGTTTACGACAACGTTAGCCTCTTCTTCGTTGTCCCAGTTTGCTTAGGACCGCGAGATACCAGAAGTCGCGATAAACTGCGCGTGAACATTAATCGGGAAAGGAAGAGCAACGTTCCCTTGCTTCGATGAATCACGTTGTCTGAGTGTGCGTTTTAAATTATCATAACCTTACCGAATTGCTGACACGATATTTTCCTCCTTCCGACCGCGCATATTTGTTACATCGCGATAAATAGCGAGGAAAGTGTATTGAAAAGATTATAAAGTGTGGTAGAATTGCAGTTGCGAAGAATTCGACGAGCTACCGATAACCATCCGATATTAGAAACAACGCGATCTCAGCTACACAAGCGTAATCAATTTAACGAAATTACGAAAATTTACTATCGCTCATAATCGCCATGATTAATCGCCTATTTGAACCACCTATGATTGTTAAGATTCGCTGTCGCGATCAGGTTCATCAATCTCGTTAATTACCTCGTTAGTAATGGAGGTTAGGTGTCCGAAATTCGTTTATCAATTATCGAGAACAATTTGTTCGCGTTTACTATATCTAAACGAGAGGTCCTTCGATAGAAGCAATCGAATTCATAGGCACGTATTCCGACTTACAACCTAACATTCATCGGCCCAATCGCTCGAGGATAAGAGACATCGATACAGAACGATAACGAATTCAACAAACACTCAAAAGATAAGATGTTCGCACGTAGTAAAATACATCTTAATCCATGACTCGACACCAATCCATTGTAAAATGACACGTGATATATTCTACGTCAAAGCTACACGATGCAAAAAAATAACAACATTCGCGGCTCCACCCAAACCCAGAATTTCGTATACGAAATCTGTTCCCTGTAACGTAACCAGTGATATATCGATGGGCCGTTTGCAAGCGTGCATTATCGCTGTCCCAGCTAGGCAACACTGGCCACTTTCACTTGTACGTTTCGTGATTAATCCGATCGTATCGTGTATTTTGTCATCTTTAGTTTAAAATTCTCCGTAATTGTGTGATCTCTATAGTAACCGTGATCAATAATACGTGTGGAAGGTGTAATGTACCGCGGGAATTTTCAGTTAAAATTCTATGGACACTTGAGTGAAAAGCGGTCGTTTCGATATCGATTCGAATCGAATTCTCATCGTGCCGACGGTTTGGCGTTGCTCTATCTTAAATCAGACCACGTGGTGATTTGTTAGTTACGTCAAAATTAGATACTACACATTTTTGCACGAACTTTCGATCTATCGTCTATATCGGATATAATCGACTCTCTGCAAACGTAATCGAACTTCAATTATATCGATTTACTCGTCTCGATATACGATTTTAAGAACGAAGCGACGTCTACAGTCAATAACAAGAAAAGAATACGAACACGAGAAGATGACAATTTTTGGACATGTTTACCCGATTAGAAGGTGAATCAATTTTACATACCTTATTCTTCGGCGACATTGCGAGGTTCTGACAGCAACGTTCTGTCAAAAATGAAGATGAATACACCCTCGCGATGAATGAGATAGCGAATGAGAGGGAGAAAAAGAGATGGCGAGCCTTGCGCCACCTGAGTGGACAGCGTCCAGCTGCGGTACGAGAAACAAGCGATATGAAAATACGCGCTGCTCAACCACCGGCTGACTTATCGCATCGCAGTCGTTGAGTCCATCCGATTCCCCACTCTATGAAATATCTATCTCACTCCATTTCCCTTGCCAACTCTTCTCCGTGTATTCTATCGTCTCGATTTGCTCAATGCCTCCTTCTTTGTTCTATGATTTTCCTCTATATATACTTAACTTTTCTCCTTCTCTTTGTTCCACACAAGACTGACCGTCTTCCTTCCGCTACAGATTTCCACGCAAGCATCATTCATGCGATGCGATGTCGTGCTCGCGGACATAGAATGCATGGCTACCGATCTATCGATAGGTACAAAGTTCTAGCGTGTGCCCTGTTATTCAAAATATGCACCAGATATCACAGTTGAATGAAGATCTTTTGTACACTGAATATGGGACACTCAGTGATAACGACGAACATCTATACGATTTAACGAGTTAAACAACGCTAGAACGATGAGAAAAAAGAACGATATGACAGGAAGTCGAGTCGGAGGAGTGTTAAGAAAATTCGATGTCTCGTTTACGATAGAATTTACATGGAATTCGATACGATCGAGCAGAGGTTATTTTCTAAATTAAACAGTTCCGAGTGTTTCGTCATGAAAGGAGTTCTAGCGCAGATGCGCGAATACGTCTCTGTTTTATGACGAAAATAGAGTAGCAAATCGTGGCTTTCGGCTCACCCATTTCACGTGTTTCAGACACCGCTTGAATTTACTTGAGCTTTTTCTACGATTCATCCATTCCCTTACAACGCAAATACGAGCTGAATCATGAAATAAAGACTAGAAAAATCAGGAACTAAAAATGAAAAGGGGAAATGGTTATGATTCATATACATATGTTGTACTGAGTAAGAGAAGGAAGACGATAAGCAAAGAAATGAAAGAAACTCACGATGTTATTGGCCGTAGGTTTCGGCTTGATCTGCAGGCCATCATCGTCACCGATCGGCTCCCCAATCTGTTCGCGGCTGCTGGTGGGGCCCATCTCGGCGCCGCGGCGCCTACCCTAGAATCGGTTGTCACTATCTTCAACGAATTGAAACACCCACGGCTTCGTGATCCCGCGTCCCCGTAGACGAGGGACGATGCGAGATCAGAGCGATCACCAGCCGGATGACACCTCCTTCGGGCGGTCCGGTGCGCCCCCTTTCGATTTATAAGCCTTCCATTGGCGTTGCATGAACAATCCTGGAAGTCGTAGCTGCTCAATGACAGCTTCTTCCGGGCGATTCACCGCGTCGTCCTCTTTCTTTGCTCCTCTCTCCGTTCCTCCTTCTCTCAGTCCATTGATGTGTGTTCCAGTGCACTATTGTACTTGAAGACGAAAGAAGCAAATTTTCTTCAGAGAAACAGTCGTTGCAGGACAATAGTTACCCCCTCGATGCAGTTATACGTCGATTGTGCGTCACCGGCCGTTTCTTTCCCGGTGTTCCTCGTTACGACCAATTCGGCGAAGCCGCGACACGACCGCCACCACCGGCACCAATTTCAGATCGTTCGAACCCTCAACGACGACGAGGACGTTGCTTACACCCCGCGCACGACCTAGTCCACGGAATTTCGATCCACCTTGTCAGGAACCTACTACGTGCTGCCTCCCCGATCTGTTTTCTTTAATCGTTCGCGTTCCAGTATGAAACGGCAAGAAAAATGTAATAACCACGTTGTCACCGTTATCGCAACCGTTTGCGTGAGTATATTCACGATATAACCGGGTGAAAGAGAACGTGAAAATCCTGTTGGAGAGAATTTTCTCGCAGACGATCCCGCCGCGGGTGGGTAGCGCCGCGGCGCCCCGGGATCAATAAAACGACCGCCCGGCCGTCGCCTTTCCTAGGTCCTGCCTGCCTGCCTGCCGTGATCTCCCGTTTACGCGACGCTGGACGTCGCGACGCGTTTCCCCCTCCCCCTTCCCTTCTCTTTGCACCGCGGCCGCTGAACGCGCCGAACGCATCCATAGGACGCAAGCGCGATCTCCTGTCGCGCACGCCCCCACGCGGTCTCTCTCCACGAGCTTGCGCAGCACGATTATCGACGCGATAGTTAGTCGGTATTGCATGCATCTATACCTAGCCATTTCCTTTCCTCCCGTTCCTTTCGGATTTCATCTATCTCTTTATGCGGGACAACGAAACGTACAGATTTCTCCAGTACGGGGTTACTATTTCTGCAAATGCCGCGATTTTTCATTCATAGGGAAAATCAATGGACATGCTTTTCGCACATCGTGAGTCAAATAGACCTCTCTTTGTGTTATGCTTAAAGGAGCAACAGAAAAGGGTTGGGCATTTGAATCTTTTTGTTCTTAGTTGTTTCTGGTAAAATCGAATTTTGCTGTTGACGTATAGTATCATCCATTTGCAGCATAAAGCACGATGCATTTCTTGTTGTATGTATATAATCGTGTCGTATGTCAATCCTACTTGACCCATGGAAGATTGCAAATATCTACTTTTTAACTATTTTGCGATTACAATTTAGAGCGCTGATGGAATTGCCTTGCTTATTGTAACAAAAGGCCCATTTTCAACTGCAAAACGTACTCATATACACGTGTGAATGTTTTCGCTGGGCTTGCGACTCGGAAATAAGATACTGCAGTGTTCGTTGTCGCAACCTTCGGAGTTGAAGGCCACTGCTGCTCAATGAAATTTAGACTAGCATGTTTGTTGACCATTTGCAACGTATCTTTATGTCGCTGTATCAGGTATACTCGGTGCTCGCGTTAAATAAACCATACTTTAATGCCTTCGATGAAATCGTTAATGTAGCAAGAATTATTTTCCATTTGTTCGTCTCTTAATTAAAATATAAATTCACAAAGGAAACAATCGTTGTGTCTATTCTACTAAAAGATACTTGCATAATTGATTTAATTACTTAGAAAATGTTTGTGCGCTCAATTACGTTTCAGTGTCCAACAGTACGCATAATCGATTTCGTATTATTCTGTAAGTTATTCCGCACAATTGCTTTTATTTTGTAGCTGCATAAGACAGATCGATATTCGACAGTTCTCAGACTAGTCACGAACACGTTCCAAGGATATCCTGATGTTTGATAGCGCTGCAATTGCAAAATAGACGTTCGAACATTCCAGCGAAGACGTAAATTAAACTTCCGTAAATATCAAAATGCTGCGATTACTTTATTCGAATCTTTCAATTCTCGTTAATCCAGAAGATTAGCTACAAAATTCCTTTGGCATTAACAAATTTCGATTTCAGCTTATCCAATGGAAAAAAAATCAGAATAATCACGCGTTCAGTTTAAACGGATAAACTTCTGCGATTCTCGTAATTGTTTTATCACTTGTTTCGCGACCGTACCCATTTCGTTTTCACTCGAAGTCGCGATATCTTCTATTTTGCTGATCGGCAGGGTGGTAATTAAGTCCTGGATATATTTGGGATTGGTTAAATCGTATGTCAGCGATTGCAGCACGCGTAAACAGAGAAATTGTGTTTCATCCGGAAGCGAATTGTTCTTCAAATAATAATTTAACACGTCGCCTACACGTGATTCGAAAAGATGCTGCAAGCCAGTTTTATTCATACTGACATTATAAAATATCATGAGCATCAATCTGTGAAACACACGGTACAAATAGGATCATTAACAAATTACCAGGCAAATTACCAGGTATTAGTAAGATTACCTCTTTAGAGATAGGGAACCTTGCGAAAATGGTAAGGTAGGCATGAGTTTCACCATTTTCTGCACGAAAGCTTTACCGTTCGTATCGGTAATTAAAAATTCACGTCCCTCGGGTGTCGCAGATATATTTGTTACAATGCCTAACAAGCCAATTATGAACTGATACTCGATGTTACAAGTGGGGGGTAAAGCACTTCGATAAGTGTTTATAAATGCGACAAAACTTCCGTCCGTTATTGATAAAAATTCGCCTATCATATGCTGAAACTGTAATGGGCATTATTCGTTAAAGTACATTATTCGTTAAATTGTGAAAGTAAAAGTATTCACCCCGGATAGCCAGACATCGACTATTTCCGGAAGTCGAGACGCACGCCAAGTTAAATTACCCAAAACTGCCCCCAAAGTTGCACAGTATGTACTTTGATTCACTATCTATAGAAATAATAAACGTATTAATACAACGAATATGGATAAATACTTCATTCATTTTTATATTAAATAATTGATGAATCACTTGTTCTTTCAAGGATTCTATTTCTTCTTGTGCCTTTTTATTTTTGTCCTCTTTCTGTTGTAACTCTCTACGCAAATTTTCACACTCGACTTCGAGGGCTGAAATTTTTTCGTTTTCCTCTAAAAATATCGAAAATATTAAGTAACCGTATCTTCTAATAATAGTGAAAATAACAATTTCCGTAAATAAGCGACAAATAATTCGTATACCTTTATTTATTTGATCAGTAAACGATTTCTGATATGAACAAGTGAAATCCTGTATCTTTTGACCATCTTCTATATTTAATTTTTCTAAATCTATGTCTAATCCAGAATCAATCAGTGCTTGAGGAATGTCTTTTATAAATCTATGGATGCTCTTCTCAGCAGTGTTTAAGGTCTCCCCCACTGAAATCTGAAAAATTGTAGTATATTTATAATACGGATATAGGTTTCCTTTAACGTCATTTCCGGCTGCTTTTTATATTCTAAAAACCACATGATATAAAACGAATAATGTTAATCGTATTTTAAATGTCAAAGAAGTATATAAGGAATATGAACATACCAAAAATTGTGTTTCGTCTTCTAGATTTGTTTGTTCCTCTTGAGCATCCTTGTCCATGTTTATTCAATTAAATTTTGGGTTAATACAAATAATTTTCTTATGTGTTTAACGAATTGATATCACTGGAAACACTTTCAACATGTTGACAATTATCGTAATTTACGTGAAATACAAGTTTTTATAAAGGTGTAAAAATTCATATATTATCGCGATACAATTTGAAACATACAATAATCGTAACTAATTGATTTGTATTTCCTAACAAATAATTCATTGCTTATTTAAAAAATTATTTTTAACTAATTATTTTGCTCCTTTTCGTACAGATTATAAAAAAATATATATCGTACTTTTTTAATTATAATTAACAAAAACAGACCAAAAATATGACATTACTGTTTATTTATAATCATGTAATGGAAATGAGCTTTATGTATAGACACACCCAAAAGAAACATTTATTTGATGAGAAGTTATATCGGTAAGTAAACTCGATTTTCTCTTAAAATGAAGCTTTTGTGCATTGTTGTGTATTTCTTTAATATTTTTAATTTAATGTAAGTTTTATTATGAATTTGGTACTATGTGAAACATGCTTAAATTTGAGATGGTTTCTTTGTGAATCTATCATAATACAAGTAACGCATGTATTTAGCGTGGCCTGCATTTTATGCATCTCGGAACACTATACGTTTATGCGTCTTCGTGTTATGATACAAAAAAATGCGTTAATTATAACCTTACGATTAGAAGCTCTCTTATTTTTAAACTACCCGGAATCTCAGTATAACGTATTGCTGTTGTCTACGTAAAACTACATGTAAGTTGTGAAAATATATTGAATTATATTTTGATATGTTAAAATTTAATTCATGAATCATTGTATACACGATAATTTTTAATCATAATAACCACGAACAATATTCCATTTGTTCTGAAATGTGAACAATATTAAAATGTTTGAATTTTTTCTTTTATAGAAGTATTTATAACCACTTTATACAACTAAAGATTGTCCAACTTATCTAATACATTTAAATGTTATGTAACAACAGTACTTTAAAGATCATTATTAATTTTTAGATACCATTATGAAGTTTTCAGAAGGTGATGAGGTACTTGTGAAACATTCAAGTACTGGCAAATATTGCAAAGGTAAAATATTACGTACAAGAGGTGAACATTATAAAGTACGACTTGAAACAGGCATTGAACAATATGTTCATTCAACCGATGTTAAGGTACATTTTTTTTATTAAATTGAAAATAAATATGTATACTTAAACTTCATAATTTAATATTTTTTATATATGGTTCTATTAAAATTTTAGATAAATAGGCCATCAAGAAGTACAACAAGAAGTACCAGTAGAGGTAAAAAAAGTCCAACTAGAAGTTCATCAGCTAGAAAGTCTCCACGTAAACATTCACCTGCACGATCTACATCTGTAAATAAACAGATTAAAAGAAATACAAAATCTGCAAAAATTTCTTTGTCACGAATAGATGCACCAAGTGGTAAATATATAGCTATAAATGATATGTTATTCTCCTAATAATATTATTAAATAATTTGATTCTTTTTCATGTAAAATGTATAGCTGGATATATAAATGATAAAATCATCGATACAAAAAGTATAAATGATGATGAAAATTCTATTGAATCAATGCCTCTTCAATCACGTTTGACAGAAATGAGAATGGTTACACGTAGATCAACAAGATTGTTAAATAGTACGCTAAAACCTGAATCAGAGCATAAAATGATTTTGTTAACAAGAAACATTGATCGAGCTGTTTCACTTCCTTTAGAAAGGAAAAATCAGCAGCTGCACGATTTTAATATTGAAGGAAAGGAAAGAGGTTATTCAGTACAAAGAGATCAAGTAAGATTTTTATATGTTATTTATTACATATTAATTTATTATATTTTAGTTATATTTATTAATATTTAATTTCAGGATTTACTAAAAACTTTGAGTTCTGAAGAAGATGCAAATACAAATGCACAAGTGATAGAAAAACGAAAAAGAGAAATCAAAATGGTCAGTGAGCCACAAGAATGGGGAGGATGGTTTGGAACTCTCATTCTTATATTTTTATCTCCTGTGATTATGATTTTACCACAATTAATGTGTACAAAAAATAAATGTACATTTGAATACCCTAACATATCTAGAGACCTAAATTCTTATATAAATTTAAAAGTTTTTACTGCATATTTGGGTCTGTTTTTATTTGTTATAATTTTTTCAATTACACCGATTGGACGAAAAATTGATGGACTACAAAGTAGGATAGAGAGATTACAGTATCGTATAAATGGTAATTTTATTTAATATTTAGATTACTTACTTTAAAGAGAAATTGTTCAAATGGAATTATTAACATACTATATTTTTTAGGTTTCTTGTGTGGCCTTTTATCAATAATTATATTTTTTGCGTGTATGTATACAGAATTTGATATTATTGATCTCATTCTGCAAAATCACATACAATTTGCAATAAGTGGTTGGATTATTGGAATAATCTTATCACTGTTGCTATTTATAAAGGGAGGCAGAGCTCCTATAGCTAATCTAAATATACATGGATCTACCAATAGTGTGATATATAATTTTTGGCAAGGAAGAGAAATAAATCCACGAATTGGGCCAGTAGATTTTAAAATAAATCTTTTCCGGACTTCTATGATAACGATTGTAATTATTTCTTAAGATATTTTGTATATTTAAATGTGCATAATGTAAAACATATTATTTTATTAAAATTCTAGATTCTTATAAACTTATCCATTGTGATCAAAGCAATTGAAGAAACGGAAATTTACAGTTTACAGCGCCTTAATATAGGTATTTTATTAGGTACTTCATTACAAATAATTTATGCAATGGACGCACTGTTATTTGAATCCGCAATGCTAACAACTTTCGAGATAATGTATGAAGGAACTGGGTATATGCTTTGTACTGCATATATGATATATCCATTTTTACCGACTCTTACAACGAAGTATATGTTGTATCATAAGTATGTATTAAATATGAAAGATAATATTGCACCATTCAACTGAAATTATCACCAGACATTTCTTTAATTTCAGAATAGAACCTACTTACGTATTTATCTTTCCTGTATTCATGTTTGTACTTGGTTATTTGCTATATAGAATTAGCAATTTACAAAAAAATGAATTTAGAAGGAATCCTTTGTCTCCATCATTAATGCGTAAGTATACAGATTTTTCAGGTGTACAATAATTTCAATACTACAAAATAAATTTTTATATTATTTATATATTTGTTTTGTAGACTTAGAAACTATACCAACTGTCCGTGGTAAGAAGCTTATAGTGTCTGGATTATGGGGTTATGTAAGGCATCCAAATTATTTAGGTGATATGATAATATGGTGGTCAATATCGTGTATAAGTTTAGTAATTGATATTTTGCCTTATTATTATGCAATTATATGTACAATGTTGTTAATATATAGGGCGATAAGAGACAATGAACGTTGCAAAATGCGCTATGGTTTAGCTTGGGAACAGTATATATCACGTGTTAAGTATATGATTTTATATCGTATATTTTAGGGAAATATAATGTGTATAAAATATTAGTAAGGTATTTTTAGATACCAAAATATGCCACAAAGTTGTACCTTTAAAACTGCAATGCTCATTATTTTATAGAATATTTTAACCATGTCAGAAGTATATATAGTGTATATACATATATACACATAAAGGAACAATATGTAGGGTCCAAATTAGCGCAATACAAAACCAAAATAATGATTGTAACATTTAATATTAAGTCCAAGCGTATTGTTTCTTTAAGTCTTTAAAGTAATGAATAATATGTGGTTATAAAAGAAGTAGTTTTTAGAAGAACACATAGAAAAAGATATTGTTGACACAATTATATGTAATGTAGAGCATATTTCTATGATAAAGACATTAAAATAAGAATTTTTATACTTTTTATACAAATTGTACAATTAACAAATAAATAATTTTTTAGTAGTCGTGTAATTTAAAAAATATATAATACTCATAAGGATTAATAAACAAATCTATAGTTTTTGTATTGTCTTTTATTATCTACGTCATACGAACTGTTTTGCAAAGAAATTTTTCGTAATGCTTGTCATAATAATATGGTAGCATGACATTGCAGTAACAGTAACTGCAGTTTTTAAGGTGTAGGAGTTTGTAGTGAGTTCTATTAATTTCATTGACAAAATGGCAACTTTTTTTGGTGAAGTAGTATTTCCAGTTTCACGAGCATTTTGGGATGATGAAGATGAAAGCAGTACAAGTGGATGTGCAGTTAATCAACCGTAAGTTATATTTCTACTAAACATAACCTATTCTTAATAAACATATACAAAAGTTTTAGATATTATTTTTTTGAAATACATTTCAGTGAATTTTTTGTCCGATGGTTAGAAGAAAAACCATCAAAAATTGAGACTTTAATTGTAATTGAAGGCGAAATGTTAATCGGTAATATATATTTATCTTCACTGATATCAGTATTTTGACCACGATACAAATGTTTATCACAAAATTATAGATTTTTCAAGAGGATGTTTATGCCCAGATTTAAAGGAAGTATGTTTCGTGGAAGATGACAAGCAAAAGAAAATGTTTACAATTTATGAAGTCAGTGGTGAGGTTTATTTATGTATTGTGACTTCAAGTTTTGACGTAAAACTATCTGGTAAACTAGTAGAAAAAGTAAGGAAACATCAATTACATAGAATTAAATGTACTACTTGTATTAATTTTATTAAATTAATTAGATAGGTGATATTATATTGAGTGCAAAAAATACAATTTGTATAACATGTCGTCATATATCACAATTTAAAAGCAAGAATATACCAGCAGTACCATCCTTCTTAAGAATGTTAACTACAAAAAATGGAGAGAATATTTGTAAATGGAAAGAACCACTTTTAGAGCAACCAAATATTATATATGGAGTAACAGCAGGAGGTTAATATTTAAACATAATATAAAACATATTTTAAGATAAAAATTTATTCCTAAACTTATATATATATATTTCAGTATTGTCATATGCCCAAATTATGGAACTACCTTCAGTTTTGTATGTTTTATATGCAGACAGTTTTGTACTGGATTCATTATCTGCAGAACCTCTTTTAAAATTATTTGCAGCAATGAATTATACATTACATGATGTTACATTTTCTGGAAAAGATTTTTTTAATAAAGGCAACCTATACATGTAAAATTTTGGGTAACTTCTTTCTTAGAAGTTTTATATTTGCATTTCCTTATTCTAGTTAAAAATTGAAGCACGTAAATATTGATAATATAAAAGTTTTATAATTAAATGCTATTGTCAATTGTAAACCTTACATATTTACAATATTTATAAGAATTTAATTATTATTTTTTAATAATACTTAAGTAATATATAATTTAATAAACGTTAGTTATGATAATAACATTTACACAAACAAACATTGCATTTTTGGTATTACAGATTTGTATGTGTTAAGGTTGAGGTGGATAATACGTACGTGGTGTAGGTGCTGGAGGCACTGGATTATTTGGAGGGAAATATGACGCGTTTGTAGGATAGGGATATGGTTGAAATGGTGCTGGTGTTGTAGTAGGAGCTGGTGGTGCAGGTCTGATGGTACCAGAAGAACCAATATGATGCATTGGTGGAACAATGTGATTCATTGTATTTACAGGAGGGGGAGGTACAGAAACATTTGCTGGAGGAAATGCTGGTGGATAATTGATATTACTAGGTGCAAAATTGGTTGGATATGTCGGAAAGTGTGTTGGCACATCCATTGGTTTAATTGAATCTGTAGTATCTGTAGTTAGACATCCATTTGCAGAGACCGCAGCTGTCTCCACTTTAGTAGCTTTTCCTGGTGTAACTATAATGTGACGTTGATAAGACACTTTTTTATCTTTTATTTACCATAGTGATAAAATATAATTATTTTTATCATACCATTTGGTGTAGTAGATGCTGTAGCTTCTGCAGGGGGTGCTGTTATAGTTCTATCTCTACAAGGCTCATTAGATGGTGTTAATGGTGGTGAATCTGGTGGTTTTGTATTATTAGCTTGTGAATATAAATCCAATACTTGATGACATATATCTAAACAAATTAAAAGTATATATAAAAATTACACATACTTATATTGATGAATTTAAAAGAAATGAATTTTTTTATAAAACCTTCTAAAAGATCCATAGTAACATCCTCAACAAACATATCCCACCAACGTAAATGTTTTGGTAGCCTTCCATTCCAATCTACTACTTCAAATTTGCTAAGTTTTCCTGCTAGGTACATGAGTGCAACAGCTATAATTTCTGGTTCCCACTGGAGTGATAATGTTGTGCATAAACTTTAAGGAAAATAGGATAAAGATTAAATTTACCATTTAAATTAATTTTAAAAAATAATAAGACATTCATACCTGTCATTAACAAATGTCCAAGCCATTTGAACCATTTTTTGTAATTTATTCTTATCACCTGTAATATATCATTGATCTTTTTATTGTGTTAGTAAATATATTATTATTTATTAAAATCATAGAATTTACTTCAATACCTTTAAGGCATTTTGCATATTTTAGCAAGTAACTATATGGATGTTCCACTTGCAAATCGAATTTGATAGTTTGTAATAAAATTCTTTCTAATGTCATAACCTCTTCCTAAAAAATTTATAAAAAGATTGTTTTAAATAAACAATAGTTGTTTTATAATGTAAGTCTTTATAGATATACCTTTGGATCTTCTCCAAATGTCATAAATTTCTGCTCAGTTAACAAAGATTTTGCAGTCTTAATTATATCTTTACATTTTTTTGGAGTTTCTTCTACTTTACCCGCCAGGAATAAACAACAGCATGCAGTCACCTATGTAGTTTAGAATATAAAATGTTTATTTCTCAAATTAAGATACTTAATATTTATCAATAAATACTTACATATCTTGGAAAATTTTTAAATGAATGAAACATATAAAATCTATGAAAATAGACTACTCCAGTTGCCATTGTATTGTATCCTAAGTCCATTTTTGTGCCTGTATCAATAATAAACCTTGCACCTTCTTTTCTATATCTACATTCTGTTTCATAATCAATTCCATCTTGAATGGATGGTGTATTTCGTAGTTCTTTCTTCTCATAATACCAGCATGGCATTTTTGTAGTGCTTGAAAAATAAAAAATATGAGAAACTTCTATATAAACAAATTTATAGTAGGAGGGATAGTACTTTCCACAAACAACACAAATTTTGAAGCAGGTTAGAATAAGTACCAAAGCTTAAAACGTTCTTCTTTTTCACTTGTTTAAATGTTTTTCATAAAATAAATACAATTCTTTTAATTAAAGAAGAACTCAATTGCTTATTATACTGGTACTATCGAACTATTTGTTACAAACAAGAATCTCAATATCCACAAATACTGTGAACATATATACTACATGAATTTATCTGCAAATCGACATCTGTGCGCAGAACTAAAAACACATTACTATTTTATGTGAAGTTGTACCACTTGTTGGATGTCAAGGGTATATTTCATGTAAACGTGTCTTGTAATAAATAGAATAAATATGTTATATTCCACTTTTTTTAAACAATGCTTGTCGTAACATATTTTATTGAAAAATTAAACACAATTTGTACAAAAAAATTGTGAAAATATTTTGTATGTTAAGTGATTTAATTTAAACATTTGGTTAACTGTAGACAAGTAAGATCAATTAAAATTGTAAAGTTATTGTATTTCTTTTTATACTACTTTTAATTTATTATTACGACAATATATATCTGTCTGTGACTTGTTAATACATTTTTCAGTTTATTTTGTTTTGTTTGATGATAAATCGATAACATACTTGTGAAGGTGACTCATTAAGTCAGCAACAAAGAAATGTAAAAAAGATGGTCTACAAAAAGCCGTTAAAATGTCAATCTGTAATATTGTACTGAAATAAACATGACCAAAAAAATTATTGTCATTTCTTTTACAGTTTTTATTATACTATTCGTTACACTTATATACCTGTGTTCTCAGCTTTAAATTAGTTACTTGGTATTGTAAGTTTGATCAAATTTAATGTTTATTTATATTTCGTTTAAAATACTGTATGTATTATATTGTTGCGTATACTTTTAAAATATTTTTATGTATATATGATAAAGTTTGATGAAAAGTAGCCATTTTGTTTAACTTTATTTAAAGCTACAAAGCAGGTGCTTCCGGTTCGCGTCAAAGTTCTGGTTTGAATGCCTTCGGTTTAACGCGTTATCTGTGGTCAATACGTACTAGGGTATATGTCATACATGCGTCTATCAATTTACCGCGAATTCTTGTAACATTTTGCATTTTGAAGGTGATTTGCGTTACACCTCTGTAACATAACTAAATGTTAATTTATGACGACCGCGCACGCAAGAATATTTTACGAAAATATCTACAATTTCACAGATAATAATACGACGTCGAATATAATGCCGTTGGCAAATTTGACAGTTCCTTGGTCTGAGCAACATATAACTGAGAAGGTAGAATTTTCGTATTTATTAAAATAATCTAGTAGTATTGAAAGTATTCCGATAATTTGTTAATTCTGTTGATATATTAATTTTAATTTTGTAATTAACAGTTTATTTGTTACAATTAAATTAATTCTTCAGCACGATGTAGACATCCTCCAATCAGAGTCTCAAGAGGAAATAATGATAACTCAAGAAAATGTAGTTGAACCTTCAAATGGATGTTCAGAATCACATGAAATAGAAGTACGCGAAGTAGTAAGAGATGGTCATGAAAAAGCAGATCCATCTCAATTTGAATTGCTTAAAGTTCTAGGTCAAGGATCCTTTGGCAAGGTATTAAATATTATGATGAATTAATAGTAAATAAGATATAATTGAGTAATATATTCTAGAAGTAAAAGTTTTTATATTATTTAGGTTTTCTTGGTCAGGAAAGTTATTGGAAAAGATAGCGGCACACTTTATGCTATGAAAGTGTTAAAAAAGGCAACTTTGAAAGGTGCATAATAAATTAAATGTATGAGGATAGCTCTGAAGGTTTTAAAACATGAAGACTACTGTAATGGAACATTGATTTTAAGTTTAAGTATATAGAGATTATCCTTCATTATATTTAATTTTTTGCTCAAATTTATAGAAAGAATTTTCAGAGCAATTCTCACTATAAAAATTACGTGTCTTTTTTTTTTTTTTTGAAGTGGTTTAATATTGCAATATTATCTCAGTTCGGGACAGAGTTAGGACAAAAATGGAGAGGAATATATTAGTGGATGTTGAGCATCCTTTTATTGTTCGACTACATTATGCATTCCAAACAGAGGGTAATCTCTACTTAATTTTAGATTTTTTAAGAGGTGGTGATCTATTTTCAAGATTGGCTCAAGAGGTATTTTTTTACTATTTAAATTCATGTAATATACAATTCATAGTATTATGTTTTTATGACATTGGATTTGCTTTTATATTGATTGTTCTAGGTAATGTTTACTGAGGATGATGTAAAATTTTATTTAGCAGAACTTGCTCTTGCATTGGGTCATGTACATAAACTTGGAATTATTTATAGAGATCTCAAACCAGAGAAGTTTGTATTATATTATTTGTCAATAATTGAACTATTGTAAAGTTATACAAATTTTGATACTTATTTTGTTTATAACAGTATTTTGCTTGATACTGAAGGTCACATTTCTTTAACCGATTTTGGTTTAAGTAAACAACCTTTAAATGATTGTACAGCATATTCATTTTGTGGTACTGTAGAGTATATGGCACCTGAAATTGTAACTAGGAAGGGCCACTCATTTGCTGCAGATTGGTGGAGTTTTGGTGTTCTTATGGTTAGTTATGCCGATATAAATGGTATGGTAACTTTAGTTTCTATTAATTTTTAATAAATTCTCAATTTTCAGTTTGAAATGTTGACGGGAGCTCTTCCATTCCAAGGAGCAAATCGTAAAGAAACAATGACACAGATATTAAAAGCAAAACTCGGAATGCCGCTTAATATTTCACCCGAAGCCCAAGCACTTCTTAGAGTATTATTTAAAAGAAATCCTGCAAACAGATTGGGCTCTGGTACTCATTTATATTTAAGGCACAAAACTAGTTGTTATATTGTGTTTATTCAATGTTTTGGATTGTTTCAGGTGGAATACAAGAAATAAAAAATCACGTGTTCTTTACTACGATTGATTGGGACGCACTTTACAAAAAAGAAATAAAACCACCTTTTAAACCAGCTGTTAGTCAAGAAGATGATGCATTTTATTTTGATAGTGAATTTACATGTAAAACGCCTAAAGGTAGTGTAAATTATTTAACTTAATATAACTTATGCTAAAAATGAGCAAAATTAGACATAAAATATATTTTAGATTCTCCTGGAGTACCACCAAGTGCTAATGCCCACGAATTGTTCCGAGGGTTTAGCTTTGTCGCACCGTGCCTTCTTGAGGATCACGTAAAAGCTCCTGAATATAAAAACTGTGATAGTCTTAGTGCAACCTTTCCGACATACGTGAGCCCCATTTCTGTAACTGATGAATATGAGTTTAAACAAGAAATTGGTAAAGGAAGCTACAGTACTGTTTATTTAGCTGTTCATAAAGTTTCTAAGGCAGAGTATGCTGTGAAGGTAATTGAGAAATCAAAAAGAGATCCAACGGAAGAAATAGAAATTTTGCTACGATATGGAAGACATCCGCACATTGTAACTTTGAGAGCTGTTCATGAAGATGATAAACGAGCTTATCTTGTATTAGAATTATTACGTGGTGGGGAACTTCTTGATCGATTACTACAAAGACGTAATCTTACAGAAAAAGAAGCAGCTGAAGTGATGTATACAATAGCTAATGTAGTTAATTATCTTCATGAAAATGGAGTAATTATCTGTTCATTATTTCTTAAGACTTTATATTATATTATGTTGTGTTTATTGACTAATCCGAAGTATGTAAATAATAGGTTGTTCATAGAGATTTAAAACCATCCAATATATTGTATTCAAAAATGGGAGCTGATCCAACGACACTCTGTTTATGTGATCTTGGTTTCGCAAAACAGTTACGAGCGGAAAATGGTTTATTAATGACTCCTTGTTATACAGCAAATTTTGTAGCACCAGAAGTGTTAAAACGGCAAGGATATGATGCGGCATGTGATATATGGTCACTTGGTGTTTTGTTATACATTATGTTAGCCGGGTAATTGGACGATTATTGAGTACTCAAATTTGAAAATGTTCTTTAGTGCTAGTGATTATATTTTTATATTTTAGATACACTCCATTTCGTAATAGTCCTGGTGATAGTGCCACAGATATATTAGATCGTATTGGACCTGGTTATATTGACGTTGAAAGCGGTATATGGTGTCAAATTTCGAATGAAGCTAAAGAGCTTGTTAAAAGAATGTTACACGTTGATCCTAATCGAAGGCCTACCGCAGCTGCCATATTAAAATATCCATGGATTGCCAATCGCCATCGTCTTCCTCAAAAAGCGTTACCTGATAGTACTAGGGACCCACATAGCCTAAAGGTATACTGCATTGATTCAATATATATTTGAAATATATTTATGTCGAGATTAATAATGTAAATTGAACATATTTTTAGAGAGCAGTAGCAGCAACATATAGAGCGATGTCTAGCAGTCCAAGATCACCTCATATCGGTCCCGTTGTCATGTCTGAATTGGCACGACGAAGAACACAAGCTAAGCCTACTGGTCCTACCGAAGTTTAAAATAAATCTACTTTTATTCCATGTTGTTAAGAAATAAGGAAAAGATATGCAATTACAGATTACGTATGTGATTACGTACTTGAAAAGACTATATTTTGTCGATATAAATCTAGTATTATTTGTGCAATGTTCAAATGTAGCTAGTATGTACTAATTTTATAAAAGTGTTCCGTTATTGATATACCATATAACTTCATTCACCAAAATCATCTCTATTCTGGTTAAAATTTTGTGTATGTGTATAGAATAGGAAATGTGTATTTAAATTCATATTTTCAATTTTAATATAAATATGAAATATCAGAGACATTTTAAATCTTATAATCTGTATTGTACATGATTACCATTTAAATATTAAAAAATAATATAAAATCTGTGAAAAAAAATAAATATATATAAATATATATTTAATAAAATGTAAAAATGAAGTATATTTACTTCGATTTTTGATCAATACTTTGTTAAATAAATTATTAATTGTATATAATAAAACAATTTTACTTAATTGCAGTTAAAATTACATTACATAATCTATATATAATTGTTTTTATTTAAAGAGTGTAATAAACGACATATTTTTGACAACTGTAGTAAATATATGAATAAGTATATAATATAATATACAGAGTGTCCCAGATTTTGATGTTCAAATTTTGTTAAATTTAAAAAATAAAAACCTAAAAAATTATAGTAAAAATACAGAGTACAAATAAAATAGTAACCGACTTGTGATGACTGTGATCAACAATATTTATATTTAGTTTCTTTATGTAAGCTACGTTTATTATTTGACGTCGTCACTTCTAGAGTTAATACTCCATTTCAAAATGTACACTATTTTTGACAATACATGATTGACAGCGATCGTAGATCGAATTTATAACTATGAATTTTATTTTTGCTTTACTTCATTGATTGCATTATTCATTTTTTGTATTAATTCTTACGCGAATTTATTCGAATTTGATGCATTTTTTTTTCAAACTTCCTCACAAATAGGAGTAGTAAGAATGACTGATCTATTCGAGTATTGTATCGCAGTAACCTCGAGCCAGTTACTATTTCACTTGTATTCCGTACTTTTGTTATAACTTTTTAATAAAGCGTTAGATCTATGTTTATATAACATTTTTTTCTTATTTAGTTCCATAGTATATACCAACAAAGTTTGAACATTAATATCTAGGACACCCTATACATAGTATTAATATAGTATTAAATATACAAATATAAAAATGATTTATATTTGTTATCAAAATAATGAGTATTTTTCAAAAATTCTTCAATTCTTGTAAAAAACGTCTGTAGAAACAATAAATTGCAGGCTATTTGATAGTAAAATATATTTAATAAACTATTAGTAAACTGTTTTTTGAATTACTGATATTATTTTGTTAGTAATATTAATTGCGTATCTTGTTCGATGATAAATAGGAATAAAATACTATAAGTATATTAAATCACATTACAAATTATTCGGATGACATAAAAGATTAAAATATATTTTTGAATAGCAATTGCAAAAATATGAACTAAAGAATAAAAATAATATTGAAAATTCCTTATTTTAAATTCATATCTATTTTTAGAATTGATATAGTTTATGTCAATCGCGTCATGTATATAAGTTCGTAATTCATTGCGGTAACATACGCGCATGCGCCTATTATTAAAGGAAAATGTGGTAGATGTTTGTTCCGACCGCGGATCTGCGTACTTTGCTTTGTAAAAAACTTGTACCACATCTTTTAGTGGTATTTATTATTATATTCTCAGTTTTTTAAATTCAGTTACTTATAAAGGTGAGATAATATTCAATATTCATCAAATTTTCTGTTTGTTTATCGAAGTAAAGAACATAAGAGAGTAACTGTGATACCGTTAGCAAAGTCGTCGTTTTTACGTACTGATCTAACTTCTCCTTTACTGTGTTATGCTAAGATTAAAAATTTGCATACATTGATTATATTAAATTATATTCTATAATTATTTTTGAATTAAAATAATTGAATATTATAGAACTTTTGTCAGTATGTCTGATCACATTTCCTATTAAGTAACTGTACAATTTATGACATATTTTCTTTCAAGAAATCAATATTCCGAAGATTCCACATTTTAATTTCATTCAATGCTCTGTACAAATGTCAATGTATTGTAGAAACGAAGATATAAAAGCAAGATATATATAATGATTTGTAACTTTTTTTATTACGCGTTTACTTTTGTTCTAATTGTGCTACAATTATAACGTTTTCAATGAATTTGGTGTACTATTTTTTCATCGAATTTTATTAAATTCGTTGTGAATATGTGAATACATGAATACATACATGCACTTACACATATTTTTCAATTATGTGAAAGTTAATAATTGAATTAACAGCATGTGACAGTATGACATCACTTTCATGTTTTAGAACACTGATATTAGGTATGAAGTGATTGAATTTATTCGATCTGAAATTTATGTTTTGCGCTTTATTATGTATTTGGAAATAAATTTGTTTTGTAAAAAAATTATATTTATTCTTTTAGGTGCTTGTAATATGCTTCATAAAGGTCCACGTCCATTAGTTTTGTGTGGTCCTTCAGGAAGTGGAAAGAGTACATTAATAAAAAACCTTTTTGAAGAATTTCCAGATACATTTGGTTATTCTATATCACATACTACCAGAGCCCCTAGACCAGGTGAAGAAGATGGAAAACATTATTATTTTATAACTAAAGAAAAAATGCAAAAGCAGATAGAACAAAATGAATTTCTTGAAACTGCTACATTTAGTGGAAACATGTATGGCACTAGGTAAGAATTTAATGCCACTAAAGAATAAAAATAATTATAACTATTATATTATAGATACATTTTTTCAATTGCTTTAGCAAATATGCAATAGAAGAAGTACAAAATACAGGAAAAGTTTGTATATTAGATATTGATATGCAAGGTGTAAAACAAATAAAACAAAGTTCCTTCGATCCCCTATACGTATTTATTAAACCACCATCTCTTGAAGAATTAGAGAAGAGGTTAAGAGCTAGAAAAACAGAAACAGAAGATGCTTTGCAACAAAGATTATCTATTGCTAAAGCAGAGATGGAATATGGTAAATACTATTGATTAACTTATTATTTTCTTAAAAATTTAAATACATTTTTTGTATATTTTTATATTTATCAATGAAATATCTATACTCTAGACTTATTTCAGGAGAAAAGCCTGGAAATTTTGATATAGTGATTGAAAATGATAATTTTTTTGAGGCATATGAGAAGTTAAGAAAATTTGTTATGTCAAAAGTGAAACAAAATGAAGAGGGTATGATGAATAATATTTTTGTGTTATATGTGTTAACTAGCAGTATTTATGTGTGTTTCTAATATCTTACAGGGTGTTAAATCTATACTTCCTAAGGATATATACTTCTTCAAATTATAATTATTTTTATATATCATCATGTAAATTAGAGTAATAGGTTACTGTTACATGATGAAGTGCACTATAAACTCATGTCTAAAGTTTATATTACTAGATCAAAAAATAAACGTTAGTAAAGTCGGTAAGTTGACTTTAATATTAAAAGAGTAAATATATGCAGAATGCTTCAAGTTTGTTACATGCATAGTACTAATATAAAAATTCAAATTAATGTCATTTAGTTTTAAAGAAATGTAAAGCAAAGATTATATTGAGCAAAATTGTAAATAAGGAAACAAGGATATGCAGAATGTTCATATACTTTGTTTTGATTCAATATTCAAAGAGAGTAGAAAGAAAAGAATATTGTATGGAAAGTAACAGTAATTTACGAAGTTATTTTTGTTATTAAGTTATTCTTCGCAGATCTGTACATATTTTTACTTGTTTTATGTGAATAGTAAATGCGTAGTACAATATTTACATAACAGTAAGTTATAATATTACATCAGTTCAGTGCAGAACTTTTGTTACTCTAGTACTCTAGTATGTATAGAAACGTGTGAAATAATTTTAGATTAATGATATCTTGTCGAATGTATGCAAAGGATAGTCAATTTGTGTGAAGACAGAACTTTAGCATGGGCTAGATATCTAAAAGAACAATTGGAAAATTAAATATAATGTTTTGGATGTAGCAAACTGAGACTATTCACCAGACGAAGTTGTGTTCCAATAGTGTAGATTACTTATAAAGTACTTGTGGTTTTGTCCTTGTAAAACATTGTATAATTATTATATCATCCAAGATTCATTCATAAATTCAAGCACATTTGAATGTATCATATTGCCATTTTATCAGAAAAGGGCATTACGTAAACATTCCTTTAAGAGTATTTGTCATCAATTAGACATATTTCACACGTTCTATATATTTGCAAATATCCTCAAAAAATTATATTCGAAATTTAAAATAAATTCATATTACACGAAAATCAATGTTTTTAAAATTGTTACTATCATTATCAATTTAATTGTTATAAACATGACATTTGTATATTACCTTTATGTTGTATCATTATCTCGATCATTTCATTTATCGACTATCAGCATGTTGTTGCTTCCACGATCGCGGAAAAAGAATTACATATTTTCCTATATACGTCATGTTATTACATGTTAGTACGTATATGGTTACATAAATATGTCGATAAAGTGATATTTGAATGAACAAGGAGTAGCGAAATATGTACACATTGTTATAGAAAATTGTATCATTGTCGTATCATAAGCTATTGAATAAATATTTCAACTATACGATATTGAAAACCAACTATTGTACCTTTTACATCTTCTTTATATTTTCACTCGAAAGCAATAATCAATCTATTACATCTCCTTTTGAAGCATGTTCACTTTCCCCCCTGTAAAAACCACAAACTTCAAGATTGATGACGATGAGAGTAATCGCGTTTCGGCCAGTCCCCATGATGATGTCGTGTTTTATGTCTAGGTACTTCGCTAACTTCAATGGACGTCACTTTCACATCCTTGTCTTCTTCTTCTTTTTTTATTTCATCTTGAATCAAATTATCTCCATAACTTCTAGGCATAAATTCACTGGTTTCCTTTGTTTCGGGTAAACTCGGAACTTTATTTTCCATGGTCACTTCCGGTTTCCTCGAGAAAATGTAATTAATCACCTGAGGTCGTGGTGCAAAAATATTTTCTGTTGGATAAGGATCTATAATCGATCTCGAATCCGATGGACTTGCATCTTTTAACGATGGCATATTTATCTGACTTGTTCTTACAGCTTGTATCACTCCCTGTTCCTGTGGCTGTTGATTGTCGTATCGAATTGACCTGAACGATCCCACAGAATCTTTGTTACCAAGATCACGCGCAGTCAATCTTCTGATCGAATCCCTTTGATCTCCATTCGGTTGAATACGACTGGACAAAGCCAAAGGTTCTTCTCGAACCTCTTCATACACATTTCTCCTTAAATCGCGTTGTTTCAAATACTCCGGCAAATTCGGCTCAATTCCACGAATTTGTTGCTCGATCCTGTATCCCGGTTCAGGAACGATGATTCGACGACGATATATGGGATCCTGGTATTTGGCACGATCTAAATAACTTTCAAGAGTGTTCCAATTTTCCAAATCTCGAGAAATTGCCCGTCTGGCTAGCTTCGAAATTTCCTTTACATCCAATGGTTGGGTATTTGTGTCGAGGGAGAAACGATCGTCATTTTGCAGAAAGGTATCCGCTCTATTCTGATAGTTGTCCAACTGAATATTGCTTTCTGGATACGTGATATGTTCAGAGGGTACTTGGTAGGTTTTTTCTAGCACAGCCCCCTGATCGAAGTAACGTTTTTCTTGATAGTTGCTGCGAGGTTCCTCGTTGGTGTCGGGATAATAAGCCTCGTAGAAGACCGGCCCTTTTTCGAGGTCGTAGCTCTCGTAACTTGGGGAGTAAAACATATTGATTAATTCGTTAGAAAATGTTTTCTCTTTCATATTTAAGTTTCAAAAGAAAAATAAATTTATTCTTTAATTATAAGTGATTTTTTTAATAATTCGGAAGTTGAAATATAAGTTCATCTACATACCGATGAATATCGGGATTCCATGCAAAGATCGGCGATATACCTGGAAGAGCGAAAAGAGCAATTATTTCGGGAAATTTCGAAACGATTAAAATGATTTTTTAACACGAAAAAAATTGATCAAGTTAGTCAATTTAACCACCGTTGTTGGCTAGATAAATCGTTCAAATGATTTTATATAAACTAATTCGTTCCCATTAATCGATTTATATTAATTTATTAAAGCAAAATCCCACTGAAGACTGGCAAAATTAAAGGATGCAAACAGTACTTTCGTTGTTTCGTAATGATTCTTTTTAGCAAAATTTTATTCATGCACAATTTTCTATCATTGTTACGAAGCAATTCAAGTTAGATACCATCTAACCATAGTTAGATTCACCATAGATATCACCTAGTATTTTTCATCTCTCTTTTGGTGTTAAATTATTCTGAGTATTCATTTCAACCCTTGCATTCTATTCTAAATATCCTATTTCCGTTAGTTATAACGCCAGCAGCTTACACGTTCATTCTTGTTTATCACAAAGATGTAAAACAAGAAAGGGTAAAAGAAAAAGGACGATGAAGGTACGTACCGATCGAAATCGTTATCATTATTGATGAAAGTAGACACTGTTTAAGAGCCATGATCCTATCGCGGGGCAACGACAAGCAACTGAGCTTCTACGACGGGACGTGTGCGTGTATTTTCAGAGATCCCTAAAATAAACCACCATTTCCTTCAGGCCTAGCTGACTAATTCTCGCGTATAGAGAAAGAGAGACGAGCTGGAAAGCTTGAAAGACTGCAAACTACTATTCGTATCTCTTGATAATGTTGAAATATTAACCTCTTGACTCGACTTTTTCGATGATTCCGCGCTCCTTAAGCCATTCGAGCTTCATCGACGACGAGGAGTATCGTAACTCGGATAATTTGTTGATTCTGGAACTTTAGTTTTTCTTGAGCGGAGTAGGATGTCGAGCAGAAATATAAGACGATTTCTTTTTGTCGTGGTTAATATTACACGGTTCGTGTCTCGAGCAACAGTGGCAGCATGGACCAGAGGATCTCGGTAGCAAGTTGGATGGAATTTTCGTCAAACGAACTAGGATTTTGTTTCATATATCGCAGCGTCCAATTTTTTGTAATCACTATGGAGAATAAAAAGGACGGTAAAGTGTATAATGTGCAGTAAAAATTTCGTTGAAATTTTTTACCATTTTATCACTTTTATTTCGTTTTATTACTTTTCGCCATAAAACTTCATACTTTGTCAATTTTTTGTGATATCTCCTTTATTATCTGCAAAGCAGGAACGAAATTTAACTCTTGGCCGGAAAATAGAATACGTATAATAAGTAGTGCGACTGTGACACAGAAAATTGTTTAAATTTATTGTTCAGCGCAGTTGCATGATATTTGCTAAATTGAGCGTAACTTCTAACTTGTACAAAAAGTGCTATACCTCGTAATGGCCAGTTTTACATTTTCCAGATTGATCGTTCAGCTTTGTAACGGAAAAACGAGTTTCACTGGCGGAAAATTTTCAACAGAAATATACTTGGCAATTTTCACGTGAATTACTATTTTAATTAACATTACATGAATTATTGGGCGATACTGCATTTCCATTATCTTATTATTCCTTTTGTTCGATTATATAAGCTGTAAAACATTTTGAAATAATGTTATTTGCTAGTGAAATAAAATGCAAAATGTACAATTTGTAGCATTAAATAAGATACGTCACCTTCTCTTAATTTTTTTATTTTTTTACTTTCGCGAACAATAGGAAAATTATTTAATTGAAGTGCCATTCTAACTTAACCATACTTTTTCGTTAAGAAATATAATAGCGGATAATAATAATCATATTCCAATTTAGAGAAAATTCCTTTGTGAATCGTTTAATTGTAATATCACAAAAACTTTGCTTTTTCTGCCCATTCTTTTAAACGTTCATTTTCATTTTCAAGATTTTTCTAATATAGTACTCATATTCCATAATGAAGGTTATGAAATATCTGCGTGATTCAATCCATTGATCATGATGTTGATTTGCAAGGAAACAAATTACTTGATAGGATACAAGCTAGATGAAACTTGGCTGTAACACAATTTTGCAAATGCTGACAGTGATTTAATATCTTTTTGTAACGTGAATCACCGAAATGAAAAAAACAATGATACATGTATATGTTTAAAATTGAATTACATTAGTTTATCTCTTAATAATTTATATAATCATAAATTCATTTTCAGTATACCACAGTGAATGTAAAGTGAATACATAAACAGTGCTACCTGTAAGTATATTTTGTTACACTGTAAAGCATATGGATTCCTGTCTTATCTACCAACGATTCGCTTATCGAAGATAAATATTGATTTCTCAAGGGGCCGTTGATGTTGCAATCAAACGCCACTATTTCAATAACGTTTGGCACGTGTATCATCTTCTTTCATAACCTTTTTAACACTCTATTTAAATTAGCATCATCTTTGGAACCGAATAAGTCTATTGTATAATAAGAAGGGTGCTTATTGATAATTCACAAGCATCTAATTCAGACAAATTATCGATGACATTCTGTAACACATCCGTCACTAGGCTGTACTGGATATCGTTGAATATCCCTATTAATGTTGACGTACCAGAAAAACGCGCCCAATAGAAGACATCTTTCGGCAATCGCAGAAAGTAGAGCAACTGAGTTGCCTGTACCGACGTAAAGTACACGATGTGTGTCGTTTAATCGTCAACCCTTTTAAAAGTAAAAGTATATTTCCCAAGATATCATATCCATCTTTAGATATGAAGCTTAACAAACTTGACAAGAACATTGATAAATTACATAAAGTAACTTCACAAGTCCTCGAAACTTTTAATCGATATTTTTTTTTCACTTCTAAGATTCCGATGATACAAAGATTTATCAAGGTAATTTGTCAAAGTTGTTTAGTAAGATCATATTTAGAATAGATGGCAGTCTTGAGGACAAGTTTTCTCATACCAAGGGATAACGTAACAAATTCATAGACAGAAAGATCGTATCGAAGAATATGAAGCGGAGGAATAGAAATGTATTTAGAAACGCTTTATCATCGACTCGAAGATCTCAGGAAAGTAGGATTTAGGACAGCATAACGTCATCGCGGTGAAATTTACACGTATTGCCACGTCAGATACACCAGGATGTACGACAGCATCGTGCCTAGCTACACAGCAACTTCAGGTCGTAGAATATTCTCAGACCCTTTGGTATCTTGGTTGCTTTGGGGGCGATCACGCAAACCTGGTCGAAACCCGCTGTCGTGGTAAACTTTATGCTGCTTATGTCGTCTACTTATTTCTTGACGAAGAACGCGACAAACGAGGCAACCATCCTGTGGTACGCCACGTCACCTAAACGCCATGAAATACGGGAGAAATTCCTCATAATGAATATAATCGATCGTTGCGGAACCCAATTAGTTAACCATGTATTAAGGTAATTTTTTTAACCTCCAATTAGTATTGGATACTTTAAAATCATAATGCAATAATACCGTTTCTTAACACAATTTTGAATATTTATTCTTTTAGATGAAGAAAACTTGAAGTCTCTGCTTTAATTTCAAAAGGAAGAATTTTATATTTGAGGTATTTATTTTCAAGAAATTTTTCACGAAATGTTATATCTCTCCAATTATTTACTCGAAATAATTGTTATTATAAAAATATTTGCGACTATTACCAATAGTCCAATTGAAGGTGCTGTTCTCGTCGTTTCATGGCTACATTTCTCGTTCACCTTCGGCACAATTATATTCACCGTGAAGTTCAGCTTCCTCGCTAACCTGTCCAAGAGGATTTTGCTCGAGGCTTCGTATCCCCTGGAGGAAACATAGGTCGATTTTGGATTTATTTTGTTCCCAATTTTTATCACCTTGGATTTCCGAATTCTCGCTCTCTTCTGCTGCTGATCGAAAATGCTAGTATTGAATCGGTGCTCGTTGAAATTGACGGAGCGTCGATATGTCAGCGTTGATAGCTAACGTAGTATGCGCCTCTTCCGTCGCCCATCCACGTTGTCCAATTGTTCCATACTAAAATCGACGTGACCGTTAAAATGCCAAACGATTATGTGGCAAAATATATACGCATCGTGCTGCATGTCGCACTCGAACGATGAAGAATTAAAAATACGCGCTATGCATTTTTGCATAATGTTATTTTATAACTCGGTTTCAAATTGAATATCGTATTTTATACATTAAAAAATCTAGATTTCATATCTTTTAGTTTCAGAGCGTAAATACCATTGATAGCTTGTATTCTTGTTTCACTTTTTTGGAGATTAATGTTTTTCACAATGATATTGCAATGTTTGATATTAGAATACTTCAGTTACACAATGAAAAAGGATTTTACGAATATAAATTAAAAGCCTGGTGACTTAAAAGCGATTGTTCGAAAAGCACATTCCATATACGATACTCCAGTCACAGCTTCCCCTATGTTCTATCGATCAGTGGTCTCCGGTTGCCCGACATCGTCAACCGATCGTTCCATACAGCTAATACGATAAAATACTCTCTACTGTTCCACGGAAACAGTGTGTTAGAATTCAATAGCTCCTCGAAGGAGTCACTGCCTTCTAGGAAGATAACGTGCACCACCCATACGTCGATTCTCGTCTTTCTTGCACCAATATCTCCTTATGCTCCATTTATGGTGAAATAGATTCACCATGGATACCAATCTCTTCGTCTCTTTCCTCTTACGTGCATTACAGTCTTCCATCCTTGGGTGTTCTTTTTCCTCCACATTACCCTGTCCCATATTTGAGTTCATTGTGTTTGTATCATATTCCTGGTGAAAGTTCGACACGGTGTATATCTTCAGTGGAACAACCACACTGGAGTATTCCGCAATCATGCCAAGGAGGACGTCGAATAAATCTCGTAAAGTTTTCGTACGTTATACGAAAATTTCGTGAAACACGAAAGTTTTCGTTTCCTGTACAGTGCAGAGTTTTCGGTTGGTACCCAACTACCTTACAAAATTGTTTTTCTCGGTTCTGTACCTAACAGTTGTATATTGGTATTTGTAGCAGAGGAACCACTCAACATTATTATTCTTACAATTGCTTAAAATGCGAATCACAGTTGTATTCAAAATCCTGTGTGAAATTCTATATAGAATCTCACCAATAAGATTAATTCATTCTAATTGTTCGATACATCACAATTCGAAAATTTCTGTCACTTAAGTTACATCACTGTCACTGTGTCATAACCATCCCTAAGATCGGACATAAATCACAGTCTTCGATCCTCTGTAGAATTTTTAAAAATTACTTTCCATAACTCAATTATTCTAGAAATAATTGGCACTTCAATTAGGTCCCCAACAGATCCACAAAATTTAAAGAGAAATGGGGATTTTCGTGGTACTAATGTTCTCTTTCAATAATTTTTGCAGATCCAAATGGCTGATAGGAGGTCTAAGTCTTCGTCGGTTTGCAAGCAAATTCGCGTTTCCAATTTTTTTCCGACAACAGCTTGTTAACGTCCATTTCGGCGATGTCGCACGTCAATCTCCAAATATCTTCGAGCGTTTTCACGTGGAATGTAAATAACCGAAAGCTTGAGGAAAAAGCGTCAACGTCACGGAAATAGGCAATCACGCTTTGTTTACCCGGATCCTTATTTATCCGGTGTCTTTGGGGACAATTCAGCCTCGTCGTGTTCGATCAAAACTTTCTGGCTGATTACCCTCTTCTCTGGCTTGTCGATTCTTCGTTCTCGACCATCCCTTGTTGGTTTCGAGCGATTATCTCATGATCGTAGCTCGCGATTCGAATCACGTTGAGGGGCTGGGAAAGCATAGCGGGTGGTGAAACTCGCGCCCTTATCTCGAGGGCTATCGGTAAGCTTAGTGGTCGGTGAAAATTTGATGAAACCATTTAACGATGACATGGTCAGTGATGGTCCAGATTAGACCGGAACACGCTCAACCGTGGGTGGATGGTGGACTATATCCTTCGTTTGGAAAATTGCAAACGTGTTTCGAGGGTGGCTATGACCACAGGATTTTCTGCAAAGGGGATCAGGTGGTTAATATACTAACGCCAGAGCTATCGGACCAATCAACGTGATTGGTTTTAGATTGTTTATTTTTGCAGTTATTGAAAATAAGCTGTTTTTCGTGAAACCGATTTTTAAACATTTACCGAGGTAGAAATGTAATTATACTTATCGATTGATTTTTGTTATACCACTATAATTATAGGAATATTATATTTAAGTACATATCACAGTTGGTAATAGTATATTGTAGACTGGTGTATAGTATTTAATATTTATTATTTAATATTTAGTATTTAGTATTTAGTATTTATTATTTAGTATTTAGTATTTATGGATTAAAGAATGAAGCTTGAGGATCAGTTTTCTTGGAAGAGCATAATTAGAATAGGGAAGTTTAAAATTTTATTATAGTCCGGATACAGGATCTATCTGGAAAGGGATTACGCGGTTAATTTATTAACACTAACCTGATCAATCAGTTAGGGTAACTGGCTTCAGACTTCTTGTTTCCCTAGTTACCGAGTACTGAGTCTTGATAAAGTGTTGACTTTTATTGAAGTAGAAATTCAAAAAGTAATTACATATGGCTATTTATTTTTGGTAAAAATTGTAGATTGGTAATTCTAGTGTTAACCCTTTGCACTCGATGATTTTTTGGTTAAAGAAAAATAGGAGATCAAAGATTTTCTGCTATAAAACTGACGATATTTTCTTGAGCAGTGAAGAAGAAATTATATAATAATTGACACGTAGAATTATTTGATTTCGATACCTCTCACACCTCTTACATTGCTTTAAAGTTGATATATTAATGAATATCGATCTTCGAAATTTTATCAAATGGCGACTGAAGGGTGCCTTTCGAGTGCAAAAGGTCAATAGCCTGTATGGTGAAAGAAATTTCGTGCATTAAATAAGGGAATTTCGAGAAAAGTGCGAGTAGAAAATTACAAATTAAAAAGTATTTTATGACAATTTGCAAATAAAATTCTTTTTTAACATATTATGATTTATAGTCAGTCGATTAATCCAATAATTTTCTACATTTACTTTTTACGCGATCCAACATTTTAGACCCCTGTGCAATCACGTTGACACGATATTTAATTGCAAAGTGCGCCAAGCCATTCGATAATTTCTTCTATATTAAATTCCATTAAAACGTGATCGAAAAATGTATTAGACATGTAGCGATTCGTTAAACTTAATTACATTCTCACATTTTTATAAAAATCGGGCGTGCTGGTCCTTGATGGAACGTTAATTAATTTTTACTAATAGAGACCTCGAAAAAGAACGAACGTTTCTTCACGATTAACTATAACTATCTTGGAAAGCCAACGTAGAAAATAATAAGGAAATAAATTGGCAGGGAACAACCTGTAACGATTGGGAAAATGTACCGTCGAGCAAGTTTGCGATTACGCAAATTTGTAAGTCAACGATAATATGCTACGAGGAATTAGGGGATGAAGAAGGAACATAGAGCGAATCGTTCGTAACCGATTGGTTGGAAACATTTGAAGCAATGTTCAGCTTAATGACCTGTCAGACATTTGACATGGGGGAGACACAATTGTGATGGAGACGTTCACTCGATTTGCCTGGTGTAAACACAGCAAGGAAGAGAAAGATGGCGGAAAATCGCATAAAATCCCTTTCCCCGTGGTTGTTGACTGAAATTCAGTAACGAGTCCGTGTTCGTTAGGAGTTTCAGTTCGGAACGTTAAAGAAGTTGAAAGTTCTGCGAGGGAAACGATACAAATTTTTCGAGAAACTTTCCTCGTGCCCGGATGATGTACCATTTTTGTTAGATCCTCGAGGAAGTTCAGCGAGTTTCTTCCATCGGGTAAAATTTTTGTTACTCTGGATAAATTTTCTCGCGATACTTTTGTTCCTTCGTCAGTTCCTTGGGGTACAGTAGCTTCGTTTCTCATATTCCCTGTCATTTTTTTCATCTGACGGCAAGATGAATGCGCTGTTCATGCGCGTTCGATGCTTAATAAGCGAATACAGAGGCAGTGTATCTGTGTATGTGTCTAGGCTTGAGTTATCGAGCGGCTTCTTTGTCCATGATTTTTTCACTTTGTATTTACGACGTCGATTATGTATTCTCGTGTTTCTCTCCACTTTCAGCGAAATTAACGGTCTTCATAAATCGAGAGGGTAGAGAAGAATGAAAATTATCGTTCTGTTTTTAATCGTAATATTGAACTCGCGATAATATCGGAATATTATCCTTGGAGTACTCGCCTGTTTTATACTTGGAATTATACATCTGCATTTTTAGAATCATTCTATATTTATCTGTTATTGTCAGACATTTTAGATTGATCAATTATAGCGTTTTGAAACAATTTTTGTACTACTGTAGGGATTGACGGTGGTGGTAATTTATTAATAAATTATGACTGTGCACGAGTGACGATTAAACATACAAATTATCTCTCTACAAGAAGATAGATTGATTTCCTCAACTTAATACAACGTTCAATAATAACTCAATTTGTAACAAATAATACTGTCCATTCCAAATTGTCTACCAAAACTATTCTTTAATCACACTCTTAAACCTTCTTTATATATTTTTTCCATCATGCACACATTTTCCAATGCTTCCCTTAATATGAAGGCCAAATTGTCAATGTTAGTTAAGGGCCCGATGCATCCGCCCATTTTCAGACTTTGGCTTCACTTTCCTAATGCAATTTTCCCTGGGCTTTTGCGGCTCTTTTGTAAAGCTACGTGTAACATGGTGCAAAATTCACGATACTATATACTACATTGTCCAATTTTATACTGCTATTATTAACTATTGTTGGGGGTCTTTTTTCCCACTATTGTTGATGTCAGCTTGTCGCAGGTATTTTCAATATGGCGGTGGTGCTAGAAGGGACGAAAGGGTAAAGGAAAGGATGCGTTTCTGTCACGGGCCTAGTGGACTTATGAATATAAGGCTATTTAATTAGACCCTGTCTTAGATACTATTCTAAATTCTATGTAATTCTATTATCTAATTCTATGCTTATCAGGGCCAATCCAATTCCAATTATTAGGCCCTGCCTTAGACGAGGATACTATTAGAAAGCTTGGAAATTGTATATATAGGAAACAGAGGGTTTAGCGAGTACTTGCGAGAAAGTCCTCGGGCCTCCTTCAAGTAGGAGTCCATCTATTGGCGAGGATGAGAACAATGCCGCCATACTATATTATTCAATCACCCAAAGAATATACCTTTAAGTTTGATAATCGCTTCGATCACTCATTGTCTTCGAGCTTAATTCATCTTAACCTACTCAAAGTAATTTTCTCAGCAATTTTCGAAGAAGCCCAAGGAACTTGTACCTCTCTCCATTTTCTAACCTATTATTTCTTCCAAGCACTATGTTCTTCCACTAGTTTGCTTTTTGCTGACCATTTTATTTCTTCTACAAACCATACTTTCTTGTCATTTTCCTCGTCAATTTTCGCCTAAACACTATATTCTTCCGAGGACTATGTTCTTGTACAAGAATTCGCGTGATCGAGAAGATCAAGGCTAGATCACATCTTGTTTGTCAACTCGTGGACTTCGCGGAAAAATGGGAAACCACGGTAATTTGGTCTGCCAGACTAGCAGCATTATCGATTTACTTTCAAGTGGGACAGGGATGATTTACGACAAGTTCGCTAGTCAGAGAATTGCCTCCCGATGTGTATCGACCTGAACAATTAGTCGCCAGACTGGATTGTTAACCACGCGCTCGTAACTGTGCCATATTTTCGATCCTAATCTTACTAGCCTCTCATTTCCACAGGTTCCTCATCGAACTAGTGCACGAATACTCGCGTGTCCTGTCACGAACTCGTAACAGCTTCGTTCTGCCTTCAAAAGCTCACGTTTGCGAGTCGATAGCATCTTCACGTATTCAACGTTGGCGTGCACGGTTACTGATGAAAGTGATCCCTCTCCGTCTGTCATTATCAACCTTTCTGATCTATGAATCCATAGATGACAAATGACAGCTTCTCCAACAGCTGGGAGACTTCTGAGAATAGAACTTGAAGTGGACTTGAAAAGGAACTGAAGATGAATACCGAAGAACTATATCACTTAACGATGAAGAGCTAAGTAGCTGACTAAGTCTAATAAACAGTCGAGTTTTCATCTTTAAAGAAGGTAGGAAATACGAACTATGTTCTGTCAGATAAGACAGTAAGTCGTGTAGTTACAAAACGAAGTAATCACATTGGAACAACAGGTTTCCCGAACAGATGAGCAGAAATGTTGCTCTCGACGTACCTGATCTCTCTCTGCGTTCTCCTCCCAATAAAATTCTCCACGTCGACGAAACTCTACTCGACCATCGAGGCCAAGTCCTTGTCTAAGCAAGAAACTGATAACCTGCGGCTGGTGTTGAATTTCATCCGTCAATCTCCCGAGTTTCATCCGCTCACGTTCTCCGTCATATTGCCAGAGTTTCAATCAAGCTTCATCGACCTTTTCCTGAGGCACGTTACAGAGAATTCAATTGAGGTTTATAAAGTGAGAGCGAAAGACCTGTCCCTAAAGGCTACTTGGATGGATCAGCTACGACTAACTTGGATCTTCGTCGTTCACGATTTGTCTACCTTGAATATTTTCATTTATTGGCAGTGGAACCTGTGGAAGGCCAACAATCAGTATTTGATTGTCTTCACGGGCAAAGGAGTGGCCGTGTTATGGAGAGAGATCTTCACGAACCTGTGGACCAAGTACAACGTGTACAGAGCCGTCGTCATCTCTATCGACGATGATTTTCGTTGTCTGATGAGCTACATGCCCTTTGAGAAATTTAAGAGTAGCTACGGTACTGTGCACAAATTGTGTATGGAGGATAATCATGTTAAACCTTCCAACGAGTACAATTCTATTCAGAATTGGAAATCGGTAGATGAGCATCCAAAGTACCAGGTATCCAAAATACTCCAATTAAACAGAGGTTTGAGATTGTTCGAGAACTTTCAGAATTTGAATCATTATCCCTTAAACGTGATCGTGTTCGAGTCTCTGCTGATGAACGTTTCGTACGACGATCAGGACAGACTGAGATTAGACAAGCCTGACGCCAATGTGATGTTTGCCCTGGAGAAGGCGATGAAAGCCAAGTTTCTTATAAAAGCTATGAGGAAGGTTGACTTCACGGAAGATCCATTTGCCTCCTCTCTGAAGAGGATCGAGAACGGAGAAGTGGACATGGTCATCACCGGTTTCTTTGTCAAGGTATACAACAGGTTCCAGAAGTTCCAGTTCACCTGTGCCATGTACGAAGACAGACTATGCTTCGTGACTCCAGACTCAGGCCTGGTACCCAAGGCTTACATGCCTTTCCTACCATTTCAAAAAAGCTTATGGGCTATGCTGATGGTGTACAATGTACTAATCACGTTGCTATGGTGTCTCGTGAAGTATGCCAGCGAATCCTTTCGTCGTCCAGACTCGATCGATCATCGATTAAAAATTAATCCTTCGAAGAGAGAACCACGGACCAAGGATCTCCTCAGTAGCAGAACCAGAGACTATCTTCCAACTGTAAAACCGCGCTGTTCCGAACAAGGGATTCGCAAGGGTCCACCAGAAATTCCTCGCTACCTCAGCAAATTCTTTACCTTTGTCGAGTACCTTTGCTATCCTTTTCAGAGTAGCGAAACTCCGGCTCAGAGGTCTCTGCTTTTCGGTACCCTGTTCTTCGCTCTGATAGTTAACGGGCTGTACCAAAGCTTCCTGGTGTCCAGCCTCAGCAAACCTATTCATTATCCTCAACTGCATACCCTGGAGGACGTGGTGGAGTCCGGGAAGCTCGTGATCACCAAGTACGCGAATCTCAAGAACGTTTTCTTGGACGAGTCTCAGTTAGACATGAAACTGATCCAGAGGATCCACGTGATCAGCACTAGACGATCTACAAAGGACATTGTGGCTTATGAAGATAAGATCGCGATTACTAGGTACTATACGATGGAGCTGGAGGACTTCGACTATTACGACAAAGAGGGGAATCCTTTGTTATACTTGGTTGACGAGTGTCCAATGAACTATAGGGTGTCCTATGTGTCCAGACTGCATTCTCCTTACGCCGAAAGAATGGATTTCATTTTATTGAGACTGAGGGAAGCTGGGTTATTAAACTTCTGGTTCGAGAGTATGTTATACCTGAACAGGGTTGGCAAAATGAAGAAAAAGTTGGACAGTGAAGATAGCAGAAACACCAAGTTATCTCTGGATAACTATACCTTGACATTTTTATTCCTGTTCATTGGCCTCTTTGGATCCGTTTTAATGTTCTTTGGCGAGGTGTACATGGCGAAAAGAAATTTGAGAAAGCGTTGAAACGAAAGCGCAAGTAGGGGTAGTTTATTTTGTAATTTCTTTTTTAGCGGGAAATTCAAATCGGTCAATTAAAGAATACAAAGAATTTTGTTCGGGATTACGAGTGCGGTAAAATTGGTTGGAGAATTTTTCTGTGCAGATTTATTCCCCAGGTTCCCGATTTAGAGGTTTCCCGAATTTATTGATCGGAGAAAGAAATTTTTTCGCTGGACAGACAATTCGCGACACTGGTTTTATTCGTTTCTACGTTTTCCTCTAGTTGTCCTCTGTTAGTTTTGGTTTTTAGTCAGGATATCGGTGGATTTGAGAACGGAACAGCTGTTTATCAGTCGAATCGACGACGATTCGTTATTTTCGCTTGAACCAATCCTATTCCTTGTCAGTGAAACACGCGCGGCCTTATTTATTATTTAACTCGCCTCGTTCGTTCGATGTTGTCGTAAAATATTTTTGCTTATTCTATTTCGAATAGGAAAAATAGACGATATTTTTCTTAATTATAAATTTGGCGAGCAGTCATTTTAATAACGACCGGATAATTTCGAGAATGACTTTCGCATATTAGAGAAATTATCAAGAATTAAACCCTTATTCGAATATCAACGATTTCATAATTTTGATCGCTATATATCGTTGCATCGTAATCATAACTTGTATTAAAAGAAAAATTTCGAAACTCAGTGACCAAAGCGACAATGTTGAGTGCAGAATTTTTAATGAAGAGTTTAGAAACGATCAGGCCAAATTGATTATTCATAATTCGAAAACTAAGAAATACATAATGGTATATAAAGGTATATAAAGGTCAGATATATTTATATGACATTTTTCACTTCTTTTGGTATACTGATTCACCTGCAAGAGTATATGGACATGTATTTACGACTCATTCTATGGAATAACAATAATAATAATAATAAGTCATAAGTATTAAATAAATAAAAGGAAGCAAGTAAATACAGGCACACATAAATAATCATAAGTCGCTATAGTTCGTACATAATTATTGTATCAACGATGGTCAAAGTCGCAGTATCGATAGTCATGACTTTATAATCCATTTACACTTTGCTGATTTTTAATCGGCTGACTTGATCAGCAGGATCATTAATTATTAACGTGTCATCGTGACGCTTGATCGTTAATGAAGCCATTATTCTCTGTACATCGGACACGTTATTAACGAGAGATAATTAAAAGTGTATGTACGTACATGGAGGATAGATCTGGAACGAATTCGGTACCGTGAAATTTCCCGGAATAATTATAAATTCGTACGTTTCGGATTTTCGAGATCAACCGAGCGATGGTCTCGCCTCGGAGGATTTAATATATTCATTGCACGTACTTCATTCCTTCGAGGTAGATGCTCCGCTAAATGCGATTAAGCTGTACCTGTCCGTGTTACGAAAGTACTCCTCTGTCACTTTTCCTCTCATTGTTCCTGGAAACGGTCGGACTTGAATCTTGTCGAATAAATCAGCGCAATTGGATCACGGAGAGGAACCCTCTTGTCTTTGGGGAATATTTCTCCCATCAAATTCCCTAGACAATTACACCTTTTCTGCCTCTTCGTAGGAATCCCTGTTTTGTTGTCACGTGTATGAGAGCGGTGCTTTACAGCGTTGTAAATAAATTTGCGAAAACCGCAACTGAATTACAAATGGCGCTGTAGAACATACGTAAATCTCGTTTCGTTTCGTACACCGTGTATTTTCCACGTTTTCCTGTTTTGTACACAGTTTGCGTTTTTCCTCTCTTTCCAGTACTCTGGCTTGTGTACCTCGTGTAAAAATACACCTATAAACTGTTGAAACTGCACACCATTGCGAAGCACTTCGGTGCAAAATTCTTTCCACCTTTTTCGATAGCCACTGCTGGAAAGTGGAAGTACAAATAGATTTTTAACGCGTGTAATTCCGCCTGGAATGATAATATTTATTTATATTTGTAGTATCGCAGGTTTTCCACCCGAGGTACACGTAGCTTTACGAAAGTCACCGAGGGTTCGAAGGCCAGGGCGCTCGGGGAAACCCCGGGCGATGCGTTAGGCCCTTAGCACGACCATGTTTGCTCATGTTGGGGGAGGTATTAAAAAACGCGTGCACGTTGGGAAAGATATATAGAGATATGTTTCCGATTGGCGATATATTGAATAAAAAGGATGTTATTAATTCCAATATATATTTCATTCACGAGCTAAGAGACCTAAGAGTGAGTTACAAGCTAAAAAGGTTACAAACTAATTACGCTGTTCACACTCGCACCGACTCTCTTTCAAACTTCGTCTCTAATCTCACCAACAGGACTGTCTATTGCCCGTTGCCAACTAGACAGGTCCAAGTGTTTCTTCGCATTGACTCTTAAACTACTATTCCTACAGATATATAAAGAAGGTTAAGAGTGGTCGGGGTGCAGTTCTTTGTAGACAGTTTGGTGTTAAACAGTTTAGTTATTGTCGATTAGAGAGTTGCTAAGAGAGGAAGAGAGTTGTCATTAAAGTTGTTGTTGTCGAAGTGTAATAGGAGAATTGTGCATTGTGATAAGCTGCAATAATTCGTATCTTTATCGTTACTCGCATACTCTACCACTGTTAATTTATTATTGAATAAATATATGTGGCGACCAAGTTCTCACCCTTGCCAATAGATGGATTCCTACTTGAAGGAGGTTCGAGGACTTTCTCTTTCCTATAGCACCTAAGAAGTATCCCTGGTCTAAGGCAGGGCCTGCTAGGGTAGCTTTACCGATGAGTCCGCCAGCAGGCCCATGAGGAAACGCATCTTTTCCTTTTCTTGTCGTCCTTCTACCTGCTACCCTAGCAACAGCAACGACGACCATGGGGACACCAATAGGTCAGCACCATAGGACACAATCCCATCATCGGGAATCACAGAAGACAACACAGTTCGCAAAGAAGTCAGTTCGCAACGAGAGCTCCATTGGAACGCATTTAACCACTTGCGCAACGATTTTTGGTTGCCATTCCGTGTTCTACAATATAACATGCAGTAGGGCGTCACATTGACGTGGTATACACGTCGTTGGCGGCTTTGGAACAAATGTATCTCGACGTGCGTGGCACGTCTTTGTAGCGCGAGTGGTTAAAGATACTTGTGACCAGAAGATTTTCAATTATATATAAAATCCCCTCTTGGGGGGGGGGGCACATATATATATATACCAACACCAATCTGTCTCTACATATTCGAAAATAAAGCTTTTCTCTCTTTCGAAGAGTCTCCTGAGAACTTTGACACGTAACTCTGATCTTTGAACCGTCTCAAATATTTTGAACTATATATTCTGAATTTTTACATGTCTGGTTCTCGAACATCCTACATTCGACCTGCGTAGATTTATCAATCTTGTAATATTCGACTAATAACACAGATAAACGAATAAATTAATGTCACGCAATCACCGATGATTTTAGTAGCCGATAATTTCATTATACAGCTGCCACTAATTGGTCAAACCGATACAAGGCCACACTTTAAACGCATTTCAATTGAATATTTCATCAGAATCGTTAATTATTCCGGGATTGTAAAGCGAGGAACCCCAGAGGGCGATACTTTTGTGCAACCAGTTTCAATGGAATAACGAAACAGACGGATCTGCTATGGAGAAATGGAAATTAAGCTCACAACGATGTCAAACGAATGTTCGTCACGTTGTTGCGACGTTCCGGGAATTTTCACGTAATCGTTTCAGTTTCGCGGGATTTATGATCGCGATCGATCGGACACAGCAGCTGTTGGAATTAGCTTTCACGTAGAAACTTAGGCATTATGTCAATGATGGTCTCGTGCTGCGACGGAAATTATGGTCGTCTTCACTTACAATGGACCTCCACTCTATAATCTTGCCGCGTGTTAATTGCTCGACGGCGATTAACTACTGTATATAACAAGCTCTTAGTCGATAAATATCTTCCTCTCTGTCTTTCAGAGTTTCCACTGTTTCCGATAAGTAGGAAAAATTTAATTTTGTTAATTAGTCGAAAATTTCAGCGAAGCCTTAGTATAATAGAGCTACAAAGTAGTTCTTCGTGTTCCAATTGTCACTAATTCGTATCTCTAGGTCTATCATTTACGACTGTTATCTAATCTTTGACAGCTTGTTTGCCTTTACTCATAACGAATACGCTTCAGTTATTTGGTCACCTCGTGCCTCTAAATGGAAATATGCAGTGGAAAAGATCCAACATGTTTTGCTGCGTCATATAGCTTTCAAATTTGGACAACCCATATCTCCTGCTGATCACGATTACAATAATATTCTGGGTGACTATAGTCATCGGCCACGAGGGTGACTACACACCACGGATGACTATAGCCATGGGCCACAAAAATCGAGTAAAAAGTTAAGACAAGTGCCTTAAAGTGTTCCTCTCAGCTCTCTTCGCAAAGAATTGCAAGCACTATTGCGATGGTCAGTTTTCCTTTTCTTTTTTTTTCCAAAAATCGGTGTTAATTAACATATCAAATTTAAAATTAGTCAACGATGCGTGGAATGTCGAAATAAAATAATTCTACGTATTAACTTGCATTCGATTTCTTATCTACCGTTTTAAAAATATCGTTGCTACCACGTGTCGCGAGTAGAAGTTATTTCCTTCTTAGAAACATGTGGAGTGCTCTAAAAATTTTGCGGTCTAGAGCTGTTAAATTTGTACGGTAGCTCGAATGTTAATCTATGAATGTTAATCAATTCTTTTCCTCAAAGTCGCGATTTTTATTGTTCGAAGTCTTCGAATTATTATTTTTCTGTAACGAAAAAATCGCCGAGTGCAAAGGGTTGAAAGATCCAAATTTCCACCTCGTCCAACAAGTGATTCTCCAGAATGTAGAAGGGAGGATCGTACATTGGAATCAATCGATATATAACACACGGGGAGCAAGATCTGACACCCGATAAACTTAGGTGTATTTCCATCGACGTCGAAAATATTCTGCAGGCAAGCAGCTTGATATTCCGGTCGTGTCTTCCGCGTTACTCCTATATACACCTGAGAAATTTCATTCCCGAAATTGCTCGAGGGCTAAAACGGGTCACGGATGGAAATAATTGATGGTATTTAGTACACTTTTGGCGATCGAGAGATACACGAGTAATATCCTAGGTACACAGAGAGAATATTAAGAAGCGAGGATCCAAAGTGCAGAATAACCAAAGTGTCTTTCAGCGAGCTCGAGCATCAAAAGTGTAATCCACCAGGCTCTTGATTTGAATACCAAGGACTGACAAAGTTACTCTTGGAATGATTAACGTGGATGAGTGTCTCCAGCACGCAGAGGGATTATTTTTCCATGAATCCCTTCGTGTAATTACTCCAAGCCCAATTATCGTTATCTTCCACTCAAGCTTATCTTTAATTTTCTCGTTCCTGCCCCGCGTGAAATTGATTTCGAGGACTCATCAGTTTAGCTTTCAGATCAAATAATTATTAACTTCGAGCAGATATCACTCGCGAATAAATGTTAAGAATGACCCTCGAAAGACTTATTGCTCCGTGAATTCCTTTGTGTAATTACTTGGCGCGTGACTCGCCTTATCTCAAACTCAACTTTATTATTAAACCTGCAATTTTCTTCTTTCTTGCAAATTACTTCCAAGATTAATTAGTTTGACATCGAGGCTGAATAATACTTCGGGTTTAATTTACTGGCGAAGTTTACAGGGCAAAGGTGGCTCCTACGAAAGAAAATATTAAACAGATTTATTACAAAAATCTCGATAAAAGGTTCGATAAATTAAGGAATTTATCGAATCAGAGATGGAACGAGTCGGTTCATTTTATTTGAAAAAGAAAAAAGAGGTCCTCAGTGATGGGTAAATGTCCCTCGATACGTCTGTATCGTGGAGATCGAAGTAGAATAGGAATACTAGAGTCAGACAGTCCGTTCGATGCTCCATGTAATCCCAGTTAGGACTCCTGTTCATAAAGAATAAATACGAGGGAATTTCCTGCGTCTGACAAATTCCACGATAGACTCCTTCTCATAGAAATTTCAACGATTGGCTGAGCCCAGGTGTTAAGGAAAAGAAGTATCGATTATGCCTTCAAAGGCTCTGAAGTAATTCGTGGAATAATCCTTGATCCTCTTCGATACAAGTATAAGTGATATAGTTATACAAAAATTATAATATAAATATAATTACATAAATAACAAGTATTATTAACACTGGAACTACCGAGCTTAAATGTGTTCTTAAAAATGACATAAAATATTTATTATTAAAAATTAAATAATATAAGTATTAAAGTAGCATTATATATACTGTGTCATTTAATACAACCTTACCCTACGATTTAAGATTCAACAGTGTGGTCCCAAAACATAAACAGAACGTAAACCGAGCCTTCGACGTATCACGAGCCAGGCTCGTGATAATCAGTTTTGGCTCGAAAATCTGACCACGAATCTCACACGTGGTTGTAGGCTAAAGCGTTAATAGTAATGGCAATAATAATATAATGCTCTAATGCAAATGTAGCGACCAAGTTCTCATCCTTGCCAATAGATGGCTTCCTATTTGAAGGAGGTTCGAGGACTTTCTCGCAAGTCCTCGATGAGGGAGGTTCTTATGCCACCTAAGTATCCCCGGTATAAGCCAGGTCCTGCCAGAAGAAAGCCTTACTGATAAGTCCACTAGCAGGCCCAGGACGGAACACATCCCTTCCTTCTTCTGTCGTCCTTCTACCTGCTACCCTATCAATAGCAACGACGACCACGGGGATACCACTAGGCTAGCACCATAGGAACCGCAACAGACTAGACCGAAGACAACGGAGTCCTCAACATGAAAACATTTAATACCCCGTGGAGGGGACCACCACACGAATAAAAATCAAAATCAATTCTATGCAACATAGTTCTTCAAAAACAAAAATTATTTCGACAAGTTCGGTAGTCCTAGTGTATGTACATATATGTACACACTCGTATACCTCTGTATATTTTATTATCCAAAAATTTCTGTATAATACATGCAACATTCACCAAATTTTTCTTATTTCGTCATCAACAAAGGGTTCAAAAAGGGCCCAAAGACGAAGCTAGCAAGACCAATTTCGCTCAGCAAAAAGAACAAGAAACGAATCGACCCGTTCTTCTTCACCCTGCACTTTTCACCTGCTATTTGTCCCATTTGTTTCATCCTGGTCATCGAGAAAAACAGTGATACGAGACCAGAGAAAAACGGAGCAATTTCCATGTTGGTTGCCATCATTTCGCTTCCACACTTGGAATCGACCAAGTTACCGCACCTTCTTTCGCCGGTACTCGTGGATAAATACAATTGCACTGGTCGTCAGACCTATGTACAGTATCCCGAAGGGGATAAATAAATGGCGGATCGTGACCTTCCGGTGCATCGTGGACTCCTGATGGGCCTGCATCCGGCGCTCCTGAGACTGGTACGTGTTCTGGTACCATTTCTTGTAGAAACCACCGTTGTTCAGCCTGTGAAGGATGCTGTTTATACGGCCACCAAACGGGGATCCTGGAACAGCGTTTGCAGTTAGAAACCTTGAGATAACAGACGGAGCCTGGTTTTCGATTTGGAGGCGTACGGTTTGATCTGTGAAGCGAGTTAGAGGAGATAGTGATGCTAGGAGAAGATTACGAGTAAGTTCGGTGGAGGGAGCAAAGATGAAGGAATAGTACAGAGTAGGAATTAGTTGATTAGGCACTCGGTGATTAATGAGTTCACCCTTTGGCTATATGTACGATATATGCGCGTCTTCAAACGTTTGCGTCTATCAACACCTCCGTAGTGGAAATAGCTAACTTCTGTCAATGTTTCAAAGACTGATAGTGTTAACACGTGATAAGAGAAATAATCGATAATTTAGAACAGCTTGCTATACGAACCTTTCGTTATTACGTTAGTTATGATATAATTCTTCGGGCATTCTTTGACCACGTGCAGTCTTTCTTTTTGATACTCGTTGTACTCCAATGGCAGAGTCGTGAATCGGTGAAGGTAGCCAGCATCCTTCGCTACGAATAATCTTCTGTCGATTTCTGAACTGTTCGCGAATTCCAGCCTCATCCCAAGACGTTTGATCAGTGGACTCGTGGTGTCAGATAATGCATCGTCTATGACATCTCTTGCGTCTGTCAAAATCGCGAGACCTGCAGACTCAAGAAGCTCCCTCTACATCCAACTGCAAAAGTCACGTAAATAAAGCGCAGTAAATGGTACAAGAGCGAAAAATTACCACTTTCCTCCAACTTCTCCAGAGTGTCGATATCCTCGTAGTGCATCCTCTTGCTGAAGCTGGACGCAAGCTGAGACGTGATTATCCCATTGAGGATCAGACTGAGTAGCAAGCTGCACATCATTAACAACCTCTCTGGGAACCAGGGCTGGCTCAACTGAAAAGGTTGCATGAGTTGGAATACCACCTTCGATAAGTATTTCCCGAATGACGCGAGATGGGTCAAGAAGACGTGGTAGATCCTCTTCGAATGGCCCATCTCCGATTTCGTCGTGGATTCAGTGCCTTGTGTTTCTTCTAACAGGTACACTCTGTCAGAAAAATGAAAATGCACCAACTCGGATGAATGGTTCTCGCATATGAGCCGTTCACTGCTTAAATTGATTAACTCCATAGAACGAAAAGTGGAGAAATGCAATGAAATAATGTATATTGTTTTTTAAAATTCCCTTTATAATTTAAATCGAAATAAATATCGTAGAATGCATAAATACAAATGTAACTTTCGTCTAACGTTATATAAAATTTATAAGAAAAAATAGCCAAAGGGAATCGTTAGTAATGTTACCATTTTTACGTTACTGGAAGAGTTAATCGATTCGGCAAGTGAAAAAAGTAATAAATTTAAATTTCACTAAATTTTACTTAAATTCTGAGAAGACGGCGCTAAAAAATTCACCGTTATCATTCACGGCTTGCTAGTGCATTTGAGTTGCATTATTGCAACGATTTGCATTAGAGTACGGAGTTAATCAAAGCGACCTCTGAAGTAAATTATTTATTATTCAGTGGCCAACAAATTTTTGCCGTTTAACGGTGTTAATCTTAATTATCGGGGAAAGTTATTATAAATATAAAAAGTTATGATTATACCGAGTGCTTTGACGCTTTAAATTTAAGATTTTTCAAAAAGTGGAGTTAATCGATTTGTGCAGTGAATGGCTTATATGATGTTCTTTGATACTCTTTGATGCTGTTTCATGAGTTTTGATATTTTAGAACATGTTTTCTCACGTTCTTTCCTATTTGGTGTCTCAGGGTTCTAAGTAACGAGGTTCGTGGAAACCCGAAAACAAACAGCGATTATGTTTAATTAGCGAGACCACGTGCAAGATTAATTTGCTCCTCAATTTGCCTGACCACGTTGAAGGGTTCCGCATTCATCAACCACCTTTCACGTCTTTCTACCGTTCCCTGCTTGGCCATAGGGGATTTTATTAAACGCGAGCCCAGAAGCTAGTGAATTTTAATGAACCTGCTTTGCTGATGTCATCTATGCTAAATTCAGAGATGCTATACTTAATATGTTAATATATTAATGACCAATATGCTATACCTCTAGCTCAAAGCTTTTGCTATCTTTTTATTTTTTTATTGTAGCATTGATCTGTGTTAATGGTGGAAATCGTACAATATCGACTGTATAGATTTATTTATTATTTTCTAAGAAAATTTGTAACTCTGGATATAGGGAGACATAATTTTGGAAAATTATTTTCTGTTCAAAGAACTTGTCAATTTTGGATATTTGTTATGACATAATATAAGTTACATAAGCAGAAAACCCAATGCAAACGCGAAATTTTTGTGACCACTTTATATGGTTCTTTCAATGATAAGAGCTCGATCCAATTTCATACGTATTAATTCCATCGTATATCTCTTCCCCACGTACTTCGTATAAACTCATATTTTATTCAAACAATGGCTCGTCGATGCGCAGGCAAAATATCGCTCAAACCCAAAGTGGGTTTTCACGAAATCTTTCGAGAATCGAAGCCTATACAAAATGGTTTATGCAAAAACAACGAATTGCTATTAATAATTCTAAATCTAATAGTTCCTTGCAAGTTTGCTTAGAATTGTATCAAGTTAACATTGACATTAAATAGAGAAAAATCTGAACATCTTTTCTCTAAATACTATTTTGGAAATCGAAACACACGTAATTTTAGATTCGATTGATTATATTTACTTATACACACCGCCATTTTAATTTTCTATAGGTTTTTGATTGGATTATTCGATTGTATCGACATTTTCGATTAATATCGTGGTGAGCTAATAATTTTATATAAATGAAGGAATCAAAACTTATTGAATTGTTATGGCCATTTCAATTTGCATAGGTTTTTGATTAAAATTTTTAATTGTATTGACATTTTCGACTAATATCGTGGTGAGCTAATAATTTTATATAAATGAAGGAATCAAAACCTATTGAATTATTATGGCCATTTCAATTTGTATGGTTTTTGATTAAAATTTTTAATTGTATTGACATTTTCGACTAATATCGTGGTGAGCTAATAATTTTATATAAATGAAGGAATCAAAACCTATTGAATTATTATGGCCATTTCAATTTGTATGGTTTTTGATTAAAATTTTTAATTGTATTGACATTTTCGACTAATATCGTGGTGAGCTAATAATTTTATATAAATGAAGGAATCAAAACCTATTGAATTATTATGGCCATTTCAATTTGTATGGTTTTTGATTAAAATTTTTAATTGTATTGACATTTTCGACTAATATCGTGGTAAACTAATAATTTTATTTAAATGAAGGAATCAATACCAATTGAATTGTTATGTCCATTTTAATTTTTATAGGTCTTTGATTAAAATTTTTAATTGTATTGACATTTTCGACTAATATCGTGGTGAGCTAATAATTTTATATAAATGAAGGAATAAAAACCTATTAAATTGTTATGTCCATTTTAATTTTTATAGGTCTTTGATTAAAATTTTTAATTGTATTGACATTTTCGACTAATATCGTGGTGAGCTAATAATTTTATATAAATGAAGGAATAAAAACCTATTAAATTGTTATGTCCATTTTAATTTTTATAGGTCTTTGATTAAAATTTTTAATTGTATTGACATTTTCGACTAATATCGTGGTGAGCTAATAATTTTATATAAATGAAGGAATAAAAACCTATTAAATTGTTATGTCCATTTTAATTTTTATAGGTCTTTGATTAAAATTTTTAATTGTATTGACATTTTCGATTAATATCGTGATGACCTAAAAAATGTACATAAATGAAGGGATCAAAACCTATTAAATTGCTATAGCTATTTCAATTGGTATAGGTTCTTGGTTAAAATTTTTGATTGTATTGATATTTTCGACTAAGAGTTGAAAAATTTACATAAATGAAGGGATCAAAACCTACTTACTTATACATGCCGCCATTTTGTTTCTCTTCGACGGTTTCCGGCACCATCTTCCTCGCGTTTTGATCTTTAATGCAACACGTATCAACCGCATACTCGCAGCAGAAAAATGCTCTTCCGCTCATTCGGACAGCTTCTACGATCTGACGATTCCTCTTGTTCTTCAGAATCGTGTAGATCATCGAGATGACGAAGTGGGCGGTTAACACTACTATCCAAGCTTCACCCGTGAAGATCTTGACGATCACGAGGCAATCGGGTATGGGTGCAGCTTTGGGAACAAGGACGCACAGTTTGTCATTGGTAATTGACGTGGTGAAATCTATCTGTCTGGTAAGATAGTCCTTGAGGAAGAACTGATTAAACGACACATCGGCGAATTTGTAGACCAAGTGCCCGATGGATCCATAGAAGACTCCGTTCTCTTCCCATCCGTATTTTTCTTTGGACTTCACGAAGACCTGTGTCACGTTCATCGCTCGACAAACCTCTTCGAGATACTTATAGTCTAGCCCAGAGAATTGTCCACCTTGAAAGGACATAGTGCTCGACTCGAAGATGGATATTCTTAATGGATAAAGTTTGAAGTCCCTTCTATCCCTATCAAAGAAGTCGGAGATGTCCGTGGAGTTGGGTTCGTTGATCATCAAAAAATGATCTTCGTTCGACTTGGTACAGTACCAATCGCAGCTGCTGTTAGCGCGATACCTCGACTGACGACCTGCATAATCGAAAGGGTCGTAACGAATTACCTTATCATGGACAAACAGCAGCAATCTGTAAACCCTTCTGAACCTCCAGAGTCTCTCGAACGCCCACTTGCAGAATTTCTCGTATTCGAACAAGTCGGTGAAGCTTCGTCTCCTTTCTTGGAGAATGTACGTGTTCCCTGGGTGCCAGAACGAGACTAAATGCGGCGAACTGAGTATGTCTCTGAGGTGGTCCACGTTCGTGAACAGCAGCAATACGCAGCTCCCGGTTTCTATTGTCTGATAGTCGCGTCTCATGTTCTTGTACCTCAAGGCTATCAGGTGTTTCAGGCTGACCACCCTGATGGAGACGTTCAAGCTGACAACGATGCTATGAGGAACATCGAAAGCTTGCTGGTACCCGTAGTCGTCCAACACCACGGTCAGCATCTTCGTGTGACTGGACCTGGCCCATTTCTCCAGGAACGGGTATACACTGGAATAGCTGTCGCCGACACTCGACTCGAATATTTCAGCAGAGGCACGGAACAGGATGGTCCAAGAGAGTAGCACAGAGAGGAATATCCTGGTCATCCTTTGACACAGGTTTGAAAGTGATTTCCACGTTACGATCTGTGAACAGAATAGAATTTTACGGTGGCAACACGTCTGGCAAGCTTCAATCTAGAGAGCTTTCGATACTTCCATTACAACTATTGTTTACGTATGTGGGAACGGAATAAGTGTGGCTCTGGGAAATGTCGAGTGTGTCTGGACTTAGAATGAAAGTGACCATGTGCGCAAGGATCGACTGCAAGGATTATTTATGGTAGAGTCGAGCGAAAGTTTAAGGATGCGTGCAGAGTGGTTGAAGTGCCTGGCCCACCGAGGTTGCGTGAGAAAGGAGCATGACTGGAGAAGAAAGTCAGGGTATGAATGAGGAGGATGAACGGTTTAAATAAGGGTGCAAGGGCGCGGGCGAGGACAGTCCTTCACGGTCTTCAAGATAGCGTCTAACAAGTAAAAGTCGAGCGTACCCGTAGCGAGTCTTTAGTTTCGTAGCCGATAATATAAGCATAAGTTTATTGTATTTTAAGAAGCAGTAAAGCAACGTTACTTTAGCCAATCCACACACCCCGATTCTACACGTATATTGCACGACTCAGTTCTGACGTTTGAAAACTCTTTATCGCGTCTTTGGACTTGATTTTGAAATAGCAAGTTTCTTATTTCGATGAATGTGGGCATACTTTTGATTGGCAAATACAAGGATGAAAGATGTTGTTTATTCTGATATATATGTAGGATCGTTGGATGGCAGCAAAACGACGTAGCTTTACGAAAGTCACCGAGGGCAATGCGTCAGGCCCTTAGCACGACTGATAACATATTTGGTCATGTTGGGGAGGCATTGGAAAACGCGTGCATAGTGTGCATGGTGGAAAAAAGAACATAAAAGGTCAAGGACGTTCTGTCAGAGGATAGTTGTCGAGGAGAGCAGAGTTGTCGATTAGCAGAGTTGTCAATAGCGTTGTTGTCGAGTTGAGAGTTGTCGAAGTTAGTTGCCAGAGTTATTGTTAATAATTGTGACTTGCTAACAATTGTGAGTTGCAGTAGGAGAGTTGCTGAAGAAGTGTAGATAGCGTTGCGATAAATAGTAATAATTCGTATCTTTATCGTTACTCACATACTTCATCATTGTTAATTTATTATCAAATAAACATATACCATCAACCAATCCCTCCACAGTACGTTCTAATTTTATCATTTTATTATTAAATATAATCTAAAATAACTAGGAATTTTTCTAGATAAGCGTCAATATAACCCAATATTTCACCAATATCTATTTCAGTGTTGTCCGACCAGTAGCCTGTCAAACTCAGGAATTTTTCTGCACGAAAATTGAATCAGCCTGTACGCTCGATTGATTCCCAAGGTAACAAGGGATCGACAGGGCCGCGTGAAAAAATCCGTTGACCCGTTGAGGCATCGAATCGAAGACCAGGGTGTAATAGGACCAACGGTGCGAAATTCAGCGAACACCGCTTCAACCGGGAGCCAGTTAATTCTCCCGATCCAATAAACTTCTACGAGGCTGCGGATCGCAAATCAGCTTGGCGTCGAGTTCGCAACTTCATCGGACACCGGTAAGCATCTCTTCCCTCGAAATCGCCCGACGAGTCTGCACACGAGCACAGTTTCGAACATCTCGCTTTGACTTTAAATTTCCTCTCTTCTTCGTCCCTCGATTTCTTCGAGAGCACACGGTTCGATCGGTCGCGACACACGCGAATCAATTCGATTGGACGACACACAACCGACGAGTGAACCGATTCCAGCTAGATCTTTGTCCGTGTTTCGCAGAAGTGCGACGCGATTCGCTCGATTTAACGAGTTCAATTATTCACGACGTTTATAATTGCTCCGACGTTTCGAATTCGGAGGATAACTCTCTAGCGAGGCTCAGGATGAAGCTTCTTGCTGTTATCTCGTCGACAACGGAAATGGTCGCATCGTTAGTGGGGCAGATAATTGCCACTGTTCTTCCCTTGGGAAGGCCAGGTATTTTTCCCTGCTCCCTGACGAATAGCCAATTCGTTGGGAATTAACGAGTAGGAATGGGGATTAAAAAAGACTTCCGCGGATTAGAGGTCGTGAATCGTATTTCTGAAAGGCTGTGAATAACGGCTAGATAAAGAGATTTAATAGATCTTTTCTATTAAGAATATTCTTAATATCTTTGATATTAATAGAAATATCTGTAGGAATGGTAAACGAAAAATCTCGTTTATTAGACTGTCCTCGCCTGGAACTCAGATCTAGAGGATCCGTTAGTATCTGGCTGCTAGATGGACCATAGGAAGTCGGGGTCAGCTCACGTGAGGTGGTCTCGCGCAACCCCGGCTTTTCCAGGTATAAATCAAGGGTAACGTGGCCGCGGTCACCTCTCAGGAATGATCCTCGCGAGGATGACCCTTCGAAGGGGCTAACTTGGAGGGAGGAGTCTCCTCCACCCTTGATCTTGGGGTAGAGGGAGTTTCTCCTCCTTTGGAGAGGCGCTTGTCTTCTGCACGGGCTTTAAAACGGCCCATTCTGCAAGACACAAGTAATGTATACAGCCATCTATTCAGTACTACAACCAATGATCAGATATATTCAATAGATTATTAAACAACCAGTTACAGAGCAGTTACTATCCTAAGTGGCTGAAAAGAAGTCATCTCATTCGGTTGCAGGGTAAAAGGGGTATTCCACTTGTTCCGCCTACACTCTCGCTAGTAATACCCACTCTTCTATGACACTCTCAAAACTACTACCTCCAAGTTCGGTAACGCGATACGTTAACATAAGCGTAAAGAAATTACCTCAGATTTAACTTACAATGAATTGGAAGCACTGCTACACCAGGCAGTAAACGAAACGACACCAAATGATTGGGAAGGATTTTGCAAACACGTAGAAACACTGGAACAGGAATATTGAACGAAAAATGGAAGCTGGTCATTGAATAGTTGATCTGACTAGTCGTCAGGTCAATGTGCCAAGAAATAGGGCTAATTTAATTTAATAGGAGAAACGAGCCAATAAAATAAAATTTTCTACATATCTATTTTTGTTACGAGGATGACATATCTCTTTTATTACCTGATTTAGTACCTTCTTGATTTCCGTTGTAATTACTCGTAGTTGAAGTAGGGATCGGTTTTACATCGTATTGGAGAACGAAGATAGAGACCAAGATGGTAACCGGAAGCGAGGGGCAAAAGTTTGTTAATCGCTGCTTTGATACGGATAAGAGAGGTGATCGATAAGAGATTCGAGTCTTCCAGGTATTTGATATTACTTCGAAGGTCTTACGGAAGATATTAGTTGCTAGTTGAGAACTTACGTGAACGTGGATTGCTGCGAAATCCGTCGAGAAGCGCGAAGGACGCCATCGCAAATACTATTACATCAGCTTGGGACGGAGAACTTATTTGCGAGGTGATCCACTGCTATTATCTTGTTCTACGGATTTGCCTCTCGCTTGTACTACTAACGACAGATGTAGTATAGTATCTGAGATAGCGCTGTTAAGGTGACGCCTCGCTAATCGCTTCTATTTCAGGTTTAAGATCCAGTAGGGGAGCGAGGGGGTTCTTCCTCACGTTCGTTGAATGTGGGCTAGTCGCAGGTATCCTCGATGTGACAGTGGTGTTAGAAGGGATGCATTTTATCTTGGGCCTGCTAGTGGTCTCATCAATAAAGCTGAGGGAAGTTATATAGATAGGAAGTTGGAATCCATCTAGTAGCGAGGGTGAGAGTGATGGTCGCTACAATCCTAATCGTCGAATCTCGAAATCCTAATTCTCGATCCACCAAGAAATTCGACTGATCCGTTGAACTGTCCTTATACAGGGGAAAATAAGTCTTTATTGCTCAGGTGTAGCGACCATCGTTCTCACTCTCGCTGCTAGATGGAGTCCAACTTGAAGGATTTTGTCGCAAGTACTCTGAAAATCTCTGCTTCCTATATGTATAACTTCCCGATCTTTCAATAGTATCCCAGTCTAAGACAGGACCTGCTAGAAGTGATACCAATGAGTCCACTTAGACTTTAAAGCAGGCTCGGGACGAAAATGAATCCTTCTTGTATCACCGTCACATCGAGGATGTACCTGTAACCAGCTAACATACAACGACGGTGGAGGACCCCCGCTATATAAGGTATCGGAGGTGCTTGCAAGCCCTAAGTGATATAGTAATTTCGTTCTTAAAATTGCTTGGGAGGTCGACATATTTGAACATGTCTTCCAGGTCTTCGCAAAGTTTTAACGTTAAGTGGTGTCACCATGAACCTAGATCGCTTTGAGAGACCTATTTCGCTTAGGCCGCGAAACACTCACTCGATATTCATGGTATTACTCTCGTGACGTAGAAAATGTTAAACAGGAGCAATTTGTAGTAGCAGAAGAAAATAACTGACTAAATTTTAGAGATAAAACAGGGAGGATAGTAAAACGGGAAGCATAAAAGGGAATACAGAAGCGGAGTTACGGGGGGATTGCAATGGTATAATAAAAGTTAGGGAGATGTCCAGTGGTATGTATTGTTTGCCATCGAAAAGGGGTAGCCTGAAGCGACGAAACTGTTTGCTTCTGCCTAGACAGACTGGGGACATTTAATAGTCCTATATACGGATGCACAACTGACCATTGGTTCCCCAAAAATGATCAGTGAATCGTATATTTATGGGCCTCGTAAATCTGAATAACCCACAAGGGACCGTCGATGTCCTTCTGTAATGCAAACTCCAGTTAGAAAACTGGTTTACAGTTACTGCTTCTTGCTGTACAATTTTATTCTTCTCGGAACTGTGTTTTCCATGAAACATCGGGAACAAATGGAATCCTTATTTTGGAAGCTTATTTCTCGCAAACAATGATATAAAAAATATCCTAATTATAATTCTAATATTTACAAAATTTTGTTATAAATTTAAATAAAATGTATATGGATTTGACATACTAAAATAGGCTAATGACATTTTGTCTGGGGCCTTTAGAAATACAAATTCGGTCCTGATCCTTTTGAGCAACGGAGAAATGAAA